TATATATATATATATAGAGAGAGAGAGAGAGAGAGAGAGAGGGAGAGAGAATATCCGCTCTAATTATCTTCGTCCAGGATTCATGTTCCTTTTGGATTTAAAAAAATTAAAAAAGTATCCGACTCTTTTGAATCTAATCAAATATTTTTGTTTAAATTGTCGCGTAACTACCATTACGATTATTGAACATCAGTTCAGTAGTATATCAGACATGATAACTCCGTTAAATCTTTTGTTACCTTTTGATATGAAGGTTGACATAGTCGCATTGCACTTTCCCAATATTGGTGACCCGGACGGGATATGAACTCGCATATCTCGAAAGTAACACCCATATCGATTTGCACACTTGAACTTCGATGGATGGACCATATTGAACAGTTGACTCGCTTTTTGTGACTGCATCATCGTCCTCCTCGCGCTGTTGCTTCTCAGTCTCATTTACACACAACGGGATTCGGCCGACTGCTAATAGCAACACGGGAAAGACCACGCAACCGTAAACTTAATACAGTTCTCACGACAAACGCTCAACATCTGATGAACTTAACACAGGTCTCCCGGTCTTTCACAAATACAGCAACTAGTGGTAATCGCTCGTCGAATTCTATCCCTGATAAAATTCTGGTGGGGGAGTATCGTGGCGTAACTACAACTACGATTATTAAACATCAATTGAGTTGCATATAAGACATGCTAATTCGACTCAATCTTTTGATAAATAAGGATTGAGATTGTCGCAGATTAGTAGTGAATTTTCCTATGAAGTCTGTGTAGTGTTTCGTCACAAAATCTTCTTGATATTTTTTTTTTAATAGAGCTTACAATTTATTAAATGTCATGAATTTAATTATTTTTGGAATGCTTTAAAATTATATTTTTGCCTTAAAATTTCATCACTATGTGTAGTGCACGCAATTGCATGATTCAAATTTATCCAAAATGTTACAGTGACTACTAAAAAATATGCTACAGTAAACCGATCACAAAAGTAATTTCACTTTTTTTTTTTCAATTTTCTAAGTGACAAAATAGAGAGTGTTGATTTACCTTAACTGCAGGTTGATAATTCTTTCCGCTTAGAATAGCTAACCCATCCATTAAAAAAAGATCATCTTAATTTATCTTTTAAACAGCTTTTTTTTTATGCTGCATTACAATAATTTCCTCTACATAGTTACTTTACTGATACAAAAAAAAATGACAATATTAAAATAAATGTGTGGTTTTGAAGACTGTGGTTTAAGATTAGGATTTTCATCATCCTTGTTTTTGCGAAACAATTCATATCGAATAACTACTTTTGAGATGCATTTATCTAAAAAAAAAAAAAAAAAACGAGTTAAATTCCATTTCGGCTAAACTTGCATTCTGAAAAATGTAAAGCATCGCTTCTTACATTCAATGAGCTAACTCTTGGCAGTTCTCTTGTATATGGAATTCAAAATGGTCACGAACATTGACAGTCTCAAAAAAGTCGACGATAAAATAAAAGTATAAATACGTAAATATTAAAAACACTTTATACTAACTATGTAACACAACAGAAGCCACGTTTCGTCCCCCTGTTACTTATTATTATTAAAATTTGTATTGGTTGGTACGTAGCATTTGAGCTGCCCAATGGGCTAAAGACGAGGAAAGATCTTCTGCAAAGGGCATCTCAATAGTGAGCCTACTTCCTCGGTCAAGACGTAGATTTAAAGGGGAAGGAAATTTTCTCCACATCTTTGTAATGCTCAGAAACCAACCACAGAACTTTCTCTTCCACAGATTTTATGAGCGTGTATATCGTACGTACTCAGTGGGGTCTTAGTGGAATCCCATTTGTAGTGTTACTTCTACACTCCTCTCGTTTGCCTTGATCGTGGTGCCGTTCTCACTGCATGCATAAAAGTTCTTATATGGGAGAATCGATTGAGTGAAAATTAATTGTGTCGTCATTGTTTTGCAGGTGAGAAATGGTCGAGAAGAAAGAGGCAGTTGTTACCTTATGGCAATGAAGTGAGCAGTGAGTATTTCTGTCATACTTTTTTTTTGTTTATTTCATTCTGTGATGTAATAAATTTTACTATTAATAGAGATCTATATTGCGTGACCAGAGAGCATGACCAGATATATCAGAGTGCATGACCTTTTTTTATTCTATATTGAAATAAATTTAAGGCAAATAAGGAGTACGTTTGTTAATGCATTTATTGGTTCACATTGATATTCTGTTCCTAATTAGCGAATAAGGTTACAAAATTATAAACTAAAAAGCGTTGCTTCGGGGAATGACTGAAAAGCTTTATTTTAGGCACTCGATATCCAATGGACACGACTGACTTCTTTTACGACCTTTTTTGCGTTTTTAAAGATTAAATTTAGGTAAAATCGTTACGTCCATTTACCTAAATTATTTAGAATATTGTTTGAACTAGTCTTTTTTTATTTCGAAAAGATATTAAAAAATAACAGTTCTTTTTTCCAAGTTGTCACGTGTTCAGTTATTGATTTTGGGTTGAAAAGGCGCATTTTGATGGTTCGCACTTAGTTATTGTAGTTTTATTTACGTCGCAGTAGAGCTGCACAATGGGCTATTGGCGACGGTCTGGGAAACATCTCTGATCCGAAGACATGCCATCACAATTTTGATCCTCTCCGGAGGGGATGGCAAGCCCGACAACCTTCACTCGAAGAGTCGCGATGGCTCAGGGAATAGAGCGTTCGCCTTCCAATGAGGCGAACCGGATTCGAATCCCAGTCGATACAAATTCCGCATCCGGCTTGCACCGACCACAGTGCTGACGTGAAATATCCTCAGTGGTAGGCGGATCATGTGTTAGAGTCCCCTTGCCGTCAGGCTAACCGTGAGAGGTTCTCGTGGTATTCCTCTCCATGTAACGAAATGCGGGTTAGCTTAATCAAAAAGTCCTCCCCGGAGGCAAATTTCTCTCAATACTCGATCCAAGAGTTCCCTTGTTTTCTGGATTGGGTTCGAAATTACAAGGCTACGGAGTTGAATATTAGTAGTCGTAAACCAATAAAATTGGGTCGGCTGTTCAACGATGGTTAAAAAATAAAGCCTGAATTCGAAGTCCAGCACTTTAAGGTTGAACAATTTAACGAGGACCCATACCGCACGCCTACTCAGACTGATCCAAGTGGTCACACCCACCCGCACACTGACAGTGAGGCTTGACTTCGGTATTCTACTGTGAACCGTGTCTTAACGATCAGTCCATTGCTGGACATGATGACACTTTGAAGTTTAATCTCTTGTGGCAATGCTTGGTTGAAAGCTGGCTAGGAAAATCAGAAGTGAAAAACAGGTTGTCTTGTGACACATCGTGCAAATGGGGTGTTAGGTTCAAGTGCAGAGGTTTATTTTTCCTGTCTAAGCAATAGTTTATTTTGGAACGATTAAAATGCTAACAGAATGGTCATAATGTTCTAAAGCTACCAATAATGTCTATTTCGCTTAAAAAAATATTCTTTTGTAAATGGATAAAAAATAACAGCAATGAATGAGTAGCAATTACTGGTGTGTGTATAAATTATATAACTTTGCAGTCAGAGGCATTGAATGGAAGTTCGTGTAATGGCGCAGTAAATAAAATGTTGTTCTCTCTTGCAGGTATGGTTTGCCCACGTTTGGAAAGTCCCGCACTAGGCTGGATGAATTGCACACAAAGCAGCAGTTTTAGGTATGAGATTCTTTTCTTCAGTTTTTGCAAAAATTCTCTAAAATGGCTTAAAAATTAGTATACAATTATGACGATGTTTGATCTTATAACCATCGTAGGACAACCTATCTATTATTTGGATAATTGACTATCGATGTTCAACTCCACAGACTTGTAATTTTAAACCCAACTCAGAAGAACTATTTGATAAAATTAACCAAACATCCTAGAAAAGACTTTCGCACGGTTTACCTTCAACAAAAAAATCCGATCCAGTCAGAAGACATCTTTCAAAATCTCTCCAACTGTGCACTAAAGTGATTCCAGGAGGTATTGAATTAACCCGCATTTGCGTTACATGGAAAGGAAAACCAGAAAATGTTTTTAAGGAATTTTATTTTATAACCAGAGTTGAGCAGCCGACCTTTTTTAGGGTTAGCTATCACAACCCCCTAGCAGTGTCATTTTCAGCTCAACTCAGAAAACAAAGGAACTCCTGGGTCAAACATTGAAACAAACTAGCCTTCGTGGAAGACGTTTTAATAGAAATTATCCGCATTTGAGTTACATAGAAAGGAAAACCACGAAAACCTCCCCACCTGTAAGGGACTTTTATCCAATGATCCGTCTACCACGGAGGATATTTTTAGCGACAGCACTGTGATAGGTGCAAACCAGTCACGACTGAAATTCGAACTAGGGTCGCCTCATTGGGAAGCTCAACCACTTAACCCATCGTGCTTGTTTAATTTTATTTTATCAGTGGAGTTGTAGAGCGGACCCAAATCTGAGTTTTCGATTAACAGTGTTCAAATCATGGTTATTTTGTGCCCATTCTACTGGACTAAGCATTGAGACAAACTAGCGCAGGATTTTTTGATGTAACTAACTCGGCATGGAGAAGGAAAACCTCTCACGGATATGTTGATCCACCAAACATGTAACAGAGAAATCTACAACTGATTCCTTTTTTGAAGTAATTAAACGCTGCGGTAGGTGAAAAAAAATTGGGATCGCCCTATGACGATCATTGGCCAAATGCTTTTTCTTTTCTGGAACGTCTCCGTTAAATTCATATTTATATTGAAATCACCGTCAAGGCAATAATTATACGTTAATAGTTATGAGAATATAAAAATACTTTAAATTATTATCATGTAAGTACATTAAAAATGCCTGCTAGCGAAAATAAAAGGAAAATCAGCAGCGGTGGCCATAGCAACGCATGCGCACTGCTTACTGTTACTCTCGAACACAAGTGTGTGGACGCCATCCAATCAAAACCAAGACCCATTTTGCCAATGGGTAATAAATAAAAATAATATGGTAAAAGAAAGGACAAATCTTCTTAAGGACAATCCACTGTGACATCATACGGCTATATCTGGATACTATATATTATTGTAAAAATTTTTTCCAAGTCTTACTGGTCATTGCGTCCTCTAGCAAGATTTGAATAGTTGATACTCTGTAATTGGGTATACTATAGCCTACGTCACAGATCGTGTTATTCCTACTAAATTTAACTAGTAAACAGCATTTTCTGCGAACCTGATTTCTAGCAACAAGTAAAAGCATCGAACGAAGTGTCTTGTTATAAGTCGCTACTCACCAGGTTGGAATTGTATTAGTCTAGTTCCTTTGGAAATAATTTATATTGTTGTTTTACCGAAGTTTATGAATTTAGTAAGCATATTTAAAACTCAATTTATTAATTAAACTAAAAGGTAAATGTTATTCCTAGTAAGTGGAAGTAGTTGTGCTTTTTTCATATTATACCCAATTGAATTTTAGTGTCACTTATAAATTTGTTTTGAGTACGATTATACCACGAACGAGGATTATATTGATAGCAGGATGAAATGGAAGACTTGTCTGAGTGTGATTATTTTTCTTGTTTCATTCCAATAAAAATAGAACGTATGTAATGAATTTTTTTTCTTCCTCAAAGGAGGGTGCGGTGCATCGGAGGATGTCTTCCCGGTTATGCATTTCTTGGTGGAGGTGATGATAGGATGACTCTGAGATGTCAAGATGGAATTTGGTGGCCGCAATCCTTTTTTCCACCCTGCCAATGTAAGTGGCCCTTCTGTATTAAATATGTAAGCAATGCTTTCGCCAAACAGATCATCTTCTGAAAATCATTACTCGCCAACGACGATAAGAAATCCATAAGCATGGTAAAAGCCATGTTATAGGGTACATACCATAGAGACATGGTATAAATAATTCGTTCACCAGGCTCCGCCTTCATCACGTGGTATACGACGATACTATTTCGCCATTTTTGGTAGAAGGATGTGAACAATCATGAACAAGGTTGCTATTTGGCGATCGTATGTCATTGTTGTAGTTCATTTACGTCGCACTAAAGCTGCACAATGTGCTATTGGTTACGGTCTGGGAAACATCCCAGAAGGTGATCCGAAGACATGCCATCACAACAGAGGGGATGGCACCCCCGCTTCGGTAGCCCGACGACCTGCACGCGAAGTCGAGCACTTTACGGTAGAAAAATTTAACGAGGACCCATACCGCACACCCTCGGTCCCTACGCAGACAGATCCAAGTGGTCACACACACCCGCACACTGACCGCAGCCAGTGAGGCTTTACTTCGGTGATCTGTTGGGAACCGTGTCTTAACGATCAGTCCACTGCGGGACGGCGATCGCATGTCAAAAATATTTATTGTACAATCTTAATGGGCATTTTTTTAACATTAAATATTTCATAAATTTTAAAAAAGAGGTATTTTGAGGAAATTGCTTTAAGTGGTTCTCAAATTGCAAGAAAAATAGAAAGCTGTAATAAATAGTTACTTCAGGAATCCTGAAAGCTCTGGTAGTAAACAGAGTATTATAAAAAAAAAACAATTTTTTTACTAAGGCAATAAAGACGAGGCTTGAAGCTTGCTTGTCACCGTAAGATTCACAAATTAAAAATGACACGTAGCAGCCGCACCCTCAATAATTGTTTTGAAGGGGGAAAAAATGCAAAAAATCAATATTTTTTTTTATTTCATTAATAAATACAAGGAACTAAAACGAAACATAATGCACAAGTTTTAACTGGAAATTTTAATTTTTTTATGTGTAAAAAACCTTTAATTTACCACCAGGTTTACTTTCTCGAGTTATCTCGGACAAAATGATAAATATTCGTCTTTGTAAGACAAGGAAGAACACAAAGTGATACTTTCCTAACGCCATTTTTCTTTTTCACTCTTTCTTTCTATGTAAATTCAGCAACCATTGTATATACAATCACGTATGCTGTCCGGGCTGTCCCACAATTCAACAGCAAAACACAACTTCAAATCATAGCAGATTACAATTTTTTTTTGGTTCCGGCTGATTAAAAACGTCATAAAACAAAACATACGGACAAATTCTTCTACGCCCGAGTTAACTGGGAATAATGAGGGAAGCGTTAAGTAATAATCCGAACATTCAATTAAAAGAGCCACTTACTAAATGGCACAAAGATGCTCGTTCAGCCATTGCAAAGAAACAACTTAAGAAGTTTAATTTGGATGGATGACTGTCGATATGAAGGACAGACTGAACCACACTTATTTTCCAAACTTGGGTAACATTCATAGTTTAAGCCGCATCACAGTTATATTTATACAAACTCAAATGAATTCAATTATGCATCAGGAGAGATAATTTATTGACCCCTCGAGTGACCTTTGGAGGGGCATATTATTTAAACCGACGTTTCAAGATGGGTGCAATCAAGATGTCTTGGAGCAGCATTTTACGAGCTCTGTCCGGGTGACTCTTATCTATTGCGAGATCGAAAACATCTCATATTGATTACCCATTCTATACTTTTTTTTCCAACTTACTTTGCGTTGAAATGATCGACACATAAAGTGATAGTCAATGTATTTTGCTATCGATTTCGTTATGTTTATTTATTTTATTATGTCATAATCTATGGCTATATTATTAAATAAAACCATACAAGTCCTTTCTACCTACGCTTTTTTTTTCTGTGGCTCAATACTTTTTTCCAGCACTGTATTTCAACCCCAATGACATCAGGATGATCTAGAAGAATATCCATGTGAACGACATTAGTTCCTTCGATAACGCCTTGAAATGCATTTTACTCTGTTTTGCCTCTTTCTGCTACCATGATTATTCTCATTCTGTTTTTCATCTTATATTTTTTTCTTTTGGCTTCTGTGCTTTTCTAGTTTTGTTTCTCTTTTTTTTCATCAACTGTACATTTTTTTTTTGTTTCTTCACCCCTTCTTGAAAATGAACGCCTATTTTTGAATTACTTGAAACATGTTTAGTGTTATTTAATATTTGTCTATTTTTGAAGTTTTCAATCAGGGGCATGTGTTTCCCTTAATGGGCAGAGGGGATTATGAGAATCTGCAGGCTTAGTCCACCCCATTTTGATCGTATTTTGGATGTCTTATATTTAAAAATGACATTGCTTAAGAGGAAGATTGCAATTTAATTTGGCACATCGATACTTGACTGTTTTGTGAAACCTCCATTGTTGACTACTGTGGGTGTCTTGCATTCAGTATGTTTAGTTTCGCGAAATCCCCTTACAATTAATATTTTATTTTTAAATCTGGGACCACTGGTTCCCGTTTGGGAAACAGTGGAAGAATATATTTCACCTACACTGCATCGAAAAAGGTTGGCAACACTACAGCAAGAAACAAGATTATTCAGTAAAATAAGATTTCATTTTACGGTCAGAATCAATAATTTATGATGCATATACACTAAATTTCTTTAAGATAAATGACTCAGAAGACACTCATCGTTTGTTTCTTGCATTAAATGAAAGACACGCACATTTGTATTCAGTTTTAGGGTTGGTTTATCGTGGAAAACTAAGCGCAGGAGGTTAAAATTCGTCTTTCGTGTTACTACTTTTCACTGATTTTGACGCCTATAAGCTTGGAAAAACGGGCCACTCAATCTATATATATATTTCTCTTACACGGCACCAAAAAAAAGCCTCATTACAACTCCCCGAATGGCAACGTTAGAAAATCGACCAATGATTGCTGCTAAAAATGTCACATGGCAAATGTAACTTGAGGTGGCTCAACATATAGCGCTTTTAAAAACGGAAACAATAACCAGAGTGAGCATTATCAGGTTGTTCAATTCAGATTCATGCCCTAAAAACATGATAATATTTAATTTAAACTCAATTAGGAATTAATTAGGCTGGCCTTCTCCATGACTATAAATAAGTCACAAGGTCAGACTTTTGAGAAAATCAGTTTAGTATTGACTAAACAAGTTTTTAGTCATGGACAACTTTATGTTGGCCTGTCAAGAGTTAAGTCATTTGACAGCCTTTCAGTAATTGCTCCAAGATGCCAAATCTATAATTGTGTTTTCAAAGAAATTCTAAATGCTTAGTGTTAATTTCTTAGAGCTTTGCAGAAAAAAATGTTTTTTGGAAAAAATTTAATTGAAACTTCTATTGGCAGTAGGCAAGGGGAACTGCCAAAATCAAAACTCCCCGATTAGAAATGCAGCATGGCGACCTCCACGTGGTATTTCTCGGGTAATGCTAACAGCCATGCATTTTAATTTATTGTATGTAAAACATCCTTATTTTGTTCTAAAATGTTATGTACTTTATCACAAATGTTAATTAATATAGAAATTGATTTCAATAATGCTGATCACCAAAAAATATTTCATTTGGCGATAAAACAAATTTTTGTGTTCTTGAAAATGAAAGACTTTTTGAGGGTTATTATCTCACAAGGAAAAGTTAGGGTTTAAAGTTTATATTTTTAAATAATAAAATTTTTTTCTAAAACTTTCAGAATTTCTAGCATTAACTAATTTATTATACACATTTAGTTGAATTTAGGTGAGTAACTGCAATATTTGATAATTTATTTTGCTAATATGTTTCTCATTTAGCTAATGTTTTGATTTTTTCACCATGTACAATCTAAATAGCTAATATACTTTTTTAAAAGCCAATAAGAACATTGATAGAATTCTTCTACATAAGTACAATACTATGTCTTTGATGATAAAATACTATGTCTTTGATGATAATATACTATGTCTTTGTGCTAGAACATTGTGTTCATTGGCGAGCGAGCGCAGCGAGCCATGGTTCACGGTGTGAATCACATAGGATTACATAGCAATTCTCGGGGGTTGGAGAGCGTTAGCGAGCAGGGGGCGGAGCCTCCTAGTATTATTATACTTTCAATAAAGCGCGCGTTCGTTCAATCTAACTTTTAACAAAACAACAAATGAGACTCAGTAAGCAGTCTACCCAAAATAAAACAAAAATTTAGCCAATCAAACTGTCAAAACATGACAACACTTTAATATTATATGAATTTTCTTAAATTTGTTTTAGAAATTACTTAAGAAACTCTTATGAAGGGTAAAGTCACAAAATAAACATCGCTTCATAAGCGGACACACCGGAAGTTTTCTAAATCGGTTTTAAGGAAGCATTCAGTTAAACCAGACCTTTTCCACAGTTAAAATATGTATTTATGTTTAAGCGATGTCGCACTGTGAATTAGAGCACACGGGAAGAAGTAGTTTCAACTGTACACTTGGATCGAGAGGAACTCGGTGTGACATCACTTGTAATGGATTCTACGAAGGACGCTATGAGTGCATCAGGGAGTGGCGTCCACCTCTGCCACGATGCGTCACAGGTATGTGTCATCCTTGAAATAAAATTTTCTTTATTCTACACCAGCCTGAATGGTTCGAGGACCTCAGTTTAACATGCTGAAAAAGGGTTTAAGTTTATAGTGTTTGAAATATAGCCTGAAGATGAGACCACCAAACTATTAAGATTGGCTCAAGCCCATATTAGATCAAAAGTTATTCAGAGTGTTGGTGTTTCCTTCTTTTTGCATTCTGCGGAATTTTATTTTTGTCTCTTATGGTTCAGTTCAAATTCAGTTTATGTTTACTAGAAATGTTATTTTATAGGCTGCAAACAACGTTTTGGTAGTTCTTTTTTTATTGGTAGCTCACACTAGGATTTAAAAACGGCACGGTAGTTATCGTACCGGTAGTTATCGAACCGGATTATCTAAGTTATCGTACCGAGTTTGTCAAGTTAATCCCAAGTCACGATAAAAGAACTAAAGTATTTTGCGTAAAGTAATTTGCTACAATAGTTGCTTAAAATGAGCAGTCTAAATGTGAGTTCTATAAATGGGCATTCCTACGTTCTTGTTAAAGTTTGTAACCGCTGCAACACAAAACTAGACCTTTTTACAGAATAATTATAATTTAAATTGTGACTGCCAAATATCATAAACTTCAAAGCGTATTTTATAATTTTTTTTGTCAATTTATGAGCTTTCTTGTTTTACTGTGTACACTCAATATCGATAAAAAAAAAAAAACATTTAATAGTATGAGTTACCATAGAAGTGGCAGAAAAGTAATAAATGATGATTGCGTCTGATTGACTGGGGGTTTGAATCCCGTTTAGGGCAAGGATGTTTCTCTCTGTTTTTGTGTGAATGTGGCGTGGGTAATCGCCTCCGTGACTCAGGTACCAGCGACATCTTTTTCTCAGGTTAACTCAAGAGATCTATTATAAAAGTTCAATTTGACTCATTTTCATACAAGGTTGGAAGATCGCTTGTTATATTCCTTTTAATTTAGGTAAATATAACAAGGAATATAACAAGAGATGTTAAACTTAATTTGACACGGAGGAAAATGTGTATTAAACAATTTTTCACTTTAATCTTTTTACAAATTTTTTTTTAGTTTTTACATTGTTGTTGTTGTAGTTCATTTACGTCGCACTAGAGCTGCACAATGGGCTATTGGCGACGGTCTGGGAAACATCCCAATCGAGGATCCGAAGACATGTCATCGCAATTTTGATCCTCTGCAGAGGGCACCCCTGCTTCGGTAACCCGACGACCTGCACGCGAAGTCGAGAACTTTACGGTAGAACAGTTTAACGAGGACCACACACCCTCGGTCCCTACGCAGACTCATTCAAGCGGTGATGTTTGACTTCGGCTGGGATCTTGGAATTGAAAACGCAGTCTGAGGATTTAAACATCGGCTATGCAAACTAAAGGGCCATTCACACTTCTTGCGATTCACGCAACTCTGATTACCGTTGAGAAAACTTGATATTTCATCCATCAGGTCTCCCCCCGACTACAATGAGAACAGCCTTAAACAGGCCTCCAACTGGAAGGAAATATAAAAATATTCGTTTGATCCTCTTACTAAACTGATGATGGATATTCGACATTATCTTTTGATGTGAGTAAAATACAGGGTGTTCCAAAATTATCTTTACAACTTCAAAAAATCATAACTTCGAACATAAACAAGATATTTTTATTCAGTCTTTTGCATGTATTACTACAACTAATAAAGTTTTTTCTTTCAATAGGCTGAAAAGTTATAAGTGAGGATGTGGACACCACAACAGAAAGCTCAATGCGTCTCATGGCCGTATTCGCTCCACATTTTCTGGACTTGTGCTGTGTCGTCCGGCTCCACTTTTATGCAGTACTGATCCGGTGCTCATGAAGCTTGTGTGCCATGCACGGATGGAGGGTCTCTTTCGAAATTTGTCCTGAAGTTCCGTTGAACCTGTGTATCTGATTTCGTCTCTATGAACCATGAGACGCATTGAGCTTTCTGTTGTGGTGTCCACATCCTCACTTATAACTTTTCAGCCTATTGAAAAAAAAACTTTATTAGTTGCAGTAATACATGCAAAAGACAGAATAAAAATATCTTGTTTATGTTCGAAGTTATGAATTTTTGAAGTTGTAAAGATAATTTTGGAACACCCTGTACAATACGTGATATAAATTGCCTGACAAAATTATACCCATTCAGCAATCTTTATTTTACGTTAAAAGAATTTTTCAGCCTCACCCAAACTCCAATAAAGTCACGACCCATATTTTGCTGAGTGAAAGCAAAAACTTTTTGATGTAAACCTGAAAAGGTTTTTATGCGGTTCGCGTGTAAATCTTCTAACCTTAAAACAAGATCTGTGACGATCTGCTCTATTCTACGCACATGACCCTAATTCAAAACCTTGGAAAACAAGTTTCTCTATAAAACTCTTAAATCGAGATTGAGTCAGGGTTTTCAAGCGTGATAAAATCCTTTCATGAAGCTATTCTCAAGGTGAAAATAATCTTAAATCTAGGTCATTAAAAGGTTTGTTTTCGCAACGTATTGTATGCTGTAGCCACATTGTCATGAAATTTCAATGGACGATGCAATTTGATCCTAGTGTGACGTCATCCAAAACGTCATGATGGACCTAAGTGGCAATAATTTTTAATCCTTTTAGGATGAAAGGTTTGCTTCATTGGAATAAAAGGTTTTTCAACCTTTCGTGATTTCTCTCTTTCAGCAAATAGTGTGTGGTGTGGTGAACCGGAGATACTGGGTGGAAGTTTCTTTAATTGCAGTGTGGGGATGGAAGGAACACAGTGCGACGTCATATGTGATGGTTTGTACGAAGGTCGATACCACTGCTTTCCTGGACAGGAATGGAGGCCAACACTTCCTTCCTGCGTCACAGGTAGGAAGACTCTTCTGATTCAGGAATCTACTGTGGAGTTGTCTTTATTTAATTTATAACCGGCCATATGCTTAAGCTTCGCGTCCTTGTTAATTTGAGCCTAGCGCAGAAGGGCCTAGGGCAGGGATGGCGAACCAGTGGCACGCGTGCCATTTATAGCACCCGACACAATATTTTGGGCACGCCACCGATCACATTGGTTATTACACTATGAATTGTTATTACGCAAATGTTATTGCATTATGAAAATTATGTAACAATTAAATTAAAATTCACAAAAACACACAAAATAATAAACAATTATTAATAAAAAAATTAACAATAAATGCTAAAAAAAACAACTAATAACCATAAAAAACAAGCTAACAATAAATAACTAGCAGAAAAATTAACAGTCCTGCTTAAACTAACAACTTGTAACCTAATCTAAGTTACTTGTCATCTAATCTGCAACAACAGAAGTCTCACTGATGTTACTTTAAGTTGAATAACGCGTATAACTGAGACATTGCAAGAAAAATTTTTTTCAATGTAAATAACGAGTTTTGAGTTGATAGTATTTAGTATTATTATTTCCCAATAATCAAGAAGTCAAAATTATTTGACGGCACGTCTATGACCTCATTAAACAACTTTTTAGAAAAAAATGGCACGTTGGTGTATAAAGGTTCGCCACCCCTGGCCTAGGGGATAGAGCGTTCGCTTTCCAATGAGGTAAATTCGAATCTCAGCAATGGTTGGTGGAAACGGATTCCGCACCCGGCTTGCACCGACGTAACATATCCTCAGTGTTCCGCTGGATCATGGGTTAGAGTCCCTTTGTCGTCCAACTAACCGTAGGAAGTTTTAGTGGTTTTCCTCTCCGTGTAAAGCAAATCCGTATTAGTTTCATCAAAAAGTACTCCGAAGGCGAATTTCTCCCAATACTTGATCCCTTGTCTTCTGGATTGAGTTTAAAATTACAAGGCTACGGAGTTGAACATTTGTAGTCGTAAGCCTAAAAAATTGGGTGGGCTGCTCATCGAAGGTTATATATANTATATATATATATATATATATATATATATATATATATATATATATATATATATATATATATATATATATATATATATATATATATATATATATCCCCCTACGACACTATAGTCGATGCGAGAGTATAATATTTAAATAAAAAACCGTCGCTAGAATTTGAACCTTGGTCATTACTTCTATGGTTAAGCGCTCAATCATCTGAATCATGACGGCTTTAGAATAATCAGGTAAAATAATTCCAAAGAGCGCAACAATCGACATACAATGCAACAACCTGCAAATCAAAATTGGGTATTTTTTTCTCCCTTGAAACTCCAAATATGAAGGAAAAATAAAATAGGGATAATTCTTACATGAAGTTACCCCAATGGGAAAGGTTGGAGGATATAATTGAATGCATATTTTACAAATCTTTCGTATACTTTTGTATTTTTTAGATATTCAATTCGATGCGAAATTTTTAAGCATTTTCATACTTTTTGAAAAACCAGTCAGAAACAAGTTACTCTTTTATTTCAATTATAATTATCTATTGTATGTTAACAAAAAACATGGTGCGTAGATTTTTTAAAATGTGCTCAATTTCGATTTTCGTTTTTTAATAGCATTTAAAGGTCCTTTTTTTCCTTGGATATTTTCAAAATAGCTTCATTTTCCATTTTCGAAAAGGAGATTTTTATTTTCTATACCATGTCCATTTTCGCCATGTATTATGCAAAAGCGTACTTTTCACATTGTTCTCTCTAGTTCTAGTTCTAGTTCATTTACGTCGCACTAGAGCTGCACAATGGGCTATTGGCGACGGTCTGGGAAACATCCCGGAGGATGATCCGAAGACATGCCATCACAATTTTGATCCTCTGCGGAGGGGATGGCACCCCTGCTTCGGTAGCCCGACGACCTGCGCGCGAAGTCGAGCACTTTACGGTAGCACAGTTTAGCGAGGACCCATACCGCACACCCTCGGTCCCTACGCAGACTGATCCAAGTGGTCACCCACCCGCGCACTGACCACAGCCAGTGATGCTTGACTTCGGTGATCTGCTGAGAACCGTGTCTTAACGATCAGTCCAATGCGGGACCACATTGTTCTATTCAACGTTTTCACAATTCATTCAACCACAATCCATTTCGGCGTACCGTCGATCGGTTGCGTATGAAAGCATTAATCGTTTTACATGTTTGATGAAATACTTGCAAGTTCGCATGTGCATATACTGATCTGGGTTCGGTGAGATTCTTGCACTCTCATGTGCAACTCTGCTGCATTTTGCAAGATATTCTCCATTTCAGACTTCATTTCCCCTCCTCTGATATCGAAACGAAAAATCTCTTGATCATTTTATAATAACTAATATATGATAATAATAAAAAAAAGAGTTTTTTGTCAGAAACTAGTTACTTTGTTATAATCATGTAATGTTTGAAAATTATTTTGCATTTTGTTAACGTTATATAGTGCTTAAATATATTTTTTAAGTGCTTAAAAAGTACTTATTTTTTGTTGAAAGATTTGGCTACGCATCCTGAAAATAGTAATTTCTGTCACAGATTTCACATTCTAGAATCAATATAGATGTCATGTTTTATGATATTTTATAATCAGCGTTGAACCATCGGCTTACTTTTTGGGTCAAGGCCAACTCCGTAGCCCTCATCAAGTATTAAAACGAACTAGCCTTCGTAGAGGACTTTTTGATGGAACGCATTTGCTTTACATAAGAGATAAAAACCATGAAACTCTCTTACGGTTCGCCCCGACGGCAAAGAGATTCTTAGCCATGAGCCGTATGCCACTGAGGATATATTACGGTGTTCAGTGCGAGCCTTAACGATCGGCTATCGCTGTGAATCGAACACGGGTCACCTCATGGGGAGGCCACAGCGGCTAATGTATTATGATATGTTTGCACATTGAGCTACTGAATATTACAATTACCTAATCGTTCGAAAGTACGAAGAAAGAACATATACTTTCCGTTATACATGAATAAGTTCATCTTGTTAACATATGAATATATCAGCTTATGCGTGTATAACTTATCAGTTCCGTTGCATCGCATTTTTTTTTAATTATTATTTTCAAAAGCTTGCACGGTTAACGTTTTACATAATATTAATTTAAAATATGTTTAACATATGATTAAGTTATTCACATTGATTGTCTTGAGTGGCGATTTCAATATAAATTAGAATACTGAAGACGGGAAAATATTTTTTATAGATTAACTACATAAAAATAAGTATTAAGTTGAAATATTTTTAACCTGCAGCGAATGCCGATTACTGTGAAGAACCTGAAGTTCCCGAGAATGGAAGAGTTCTTTTCCGAAATGGGACTCTTCTTGGAAGTGAATTGAGATACGCATGCGTAGAAGGATATGAGATGATGGGCGCAGACCGTATCTCCTGTCTACAAAACGGACAATGGTCATCACCACCACCACAGTGCAATCTTCGAGAAAGTAAGGTTTTATTTAAATGAAAATCACAAAAGTTCTATCCCTAGGCTTAAAAAAAGAACCCCCTTCCCCCCCCCCCTAACAAACAGCCAGTCAAGCAATAAAAATGTACTGACAACAATGGAAAGATGCAACACCATCATCAGATTTGCAGTGTATCTACCACTACAAAAACTTTAATTCCAATTCACTAGTATAAAAGACACGTAAACTCGATTCTATATCTGGGGACGACCCTTTCAGAGATGAAGGTTGACATTGTCGATAACTACTAGCCCCACAGATTTTTATCTACAGGAAGAATCATTCCACCTTTGTTTTTAATTTACTTTGAAATGTATGATCTCAAATCATTAGTAAAGTAATTAGTATTCTAAAAAAGAATATTCTTATAAAATAGCGTCACATAATCGCTAGTTATTTTTTTTAATTAACGTTTAAAAATGGCACACATATAAAAGGTGTGATTTTCACGCTTCAGTAAAGAAAGAAGAAAAAAAACACAAGAAATGTGTCGTTCGATATACGATCCTGTTGAAAGATGCTCGCAATAAATCTAAAATACCGATATTTTAAAACAGTTTATATACTCTCTAGAATAGGGGTTTCCAACTTACATGAGGCCGGGGACCGCAATTAAAAACACCAGTCAAATGGCAGGCCGTAACTTTATCAAAATTTTATATAGGTCTCTTTTATGTTTGAAGGAACATTACTGTCAGACTTTTATCAAGTTGTACAAAACAAAAGTATAGAATTTAAAGTTAAAATAAGAAGTAGATTTTTACCTGAGAAAAAAAAATTTTTTTTGCACCGTTGGTATGTTAAATTTCACAGAAACGAAGAAATTAGGTTTTTATTAAACGAAGAAAAGTACTTTAAACCCATATAGATTTTTTACTAAAATTGTCCGCAAAAAATTACAACTAATATATTTTAGTTCGCGGGGGCCACAAAAAAAAAAAGCTTGGCGGTGAGATGTGGACCGCGGACTGGTAACCACTGTTCTAGAAGTTCAACTATGGATATTCATCCTAAATGTATCCATTAAAACTTGTAAGGTGGCTTAAAGTGTATATATAAACATTCTATATTTCTTCTAAGTTTTATTTTTTAAAGAGAGGAAAAACAGACATATTATGCCATGAAAAAAAAATCGCCAAAATAGCATAATTGTACGACTGAGAGAGCATAATTAAAGATGATTCTTCTCATACAGCAGTTTTTTTTTCATGGAAAATAAGAATATGTACATTAAACAAACTTCTTCTTCAGGAGCGCAACAACCCTTTGCAGGTCCTGGCTGCCTCAACAGCACGCCTTCTCCAGCTCCCTCTGTCCATGGCAACTCCCCTCCAGTTTTCGGACTTTGAGGTCGCTTTCGGTGTCGTTGAGCCATCGAGTAGGTGGTCTACCTCTAGAGCGGGACCCCTGAGGGTTCTTGAAGGTGGCAATTTTTACAGGGCTATCTTCAGGGCCTCTCCATATATGTCCGAGCCATCTTAGTCGGTTGCTTCGGATTATCTGCATAATTTGAGGATGTTTATAGAGCCCATAAAGTTCAAAGTTGTACCGTGTTCGCCAACATCCCCCCTCTGGTATGGCACCAAAGATAGTTCTAAGTATACTAAACAAACTATGGATATTAATTTTTACACTCTCGTTTATATTTCAAATGTCACTTTTCTCGCTTTTTGATTACATTTTGTAGAGTTCGGGCAAAATGTACTGCATCCTCACAGTCATGAATAACTCTCTAATTTTATTAATATGAAGGGAAAAAAATTAGAGTGTTTTTTTTAAATATAATTAAAATACATTTATTTAAGGTCAATTTTTATTTCTAAAACAATATTAATGAAATATATACTAACTTCAGAACACTTTGGTAAAGTGTCAAAACATTTCTTTTGAAAGCACATTAGTGTAGGAACATCCCCATTAAGTCCTAGATCGTGAAGATCCAATCCTTAGATCAAAAGTTATTCTGTACGTCCATAATAAATTAATCCACTTAAAGTTTGTAGGGAAGCATAATTACTTCAATTTGCAAAAAATGAAGATTTGAGTGAATCATTTCACTTAATTCCCTACTGAAAATCTATCGGCCCCTTCAACCAATACGTTTCTATTCGAATGGAAATAAGAAACTAATTAAATAAGAATTATGTCCAGTGTCGAGCAATGCAGTTCAACCTCTAGCTTTCTACAATTGATTGAATGATAGTAGTAAAAGGATATAGTTAAGCCTTTCTTAGAACTGAAGACTAACATTCATTTCTTTTGCAGCGAATGCCGATTACTGTGAAGAACCTGAAGTTCCCGAGAATGGAAGAGTTCTTTTCCGAAATAGGACTCTTCTTGGAAGTGAATTAAGATACGTATGTGTTGAAGGATATGAGATGGTAGGCGCAGACCGTATCTCCTGTCTACAAAACGGACAATGGTCATCACCACCACCACAGTGCAATCTTCAAGAAAGTAAGGCTTTTTTATGGTGGCTCAGGGGGTAGAGTCTTCCAATGAGGTGAACTGGGTTCGAATCCCAGAGTTGGCTAGTCGATACGAATTCCGTATCCGGCTCGCACCGACCTCAGTGGTTGACAGATCTTGGGTTAAAGTCCCCTTACTAGTCAGGCTAACCGTGTGATGTTTTCCTCTCCATGTTACGCAAATGCGGCTTATGTGAAGGCAAATTTCTCCCAATACATTATTCAGGAGTTCCCTTATCATCTAGAGTGGGTTCAAAATGACAAGGCTACGGAGTTGAACATTAGGGGGTCATAAACACAAAATTGAATCGGCTGTTCAACGACGGTTATAAAATAAAATGCAATTTATTGAGCCGTGATGGCTCAGGCGCTATAAAATATATACATCAATTTTTAAATAACTCCCCAGAGTCGTGGTGGCTTAGGAGATAGAGATCTCACCCCTCAAGTTCGATTCACAGTCATGATTGGTTGATATGAGTACTGCTTCCGGTTCGCGCCGTCTACAGTGCTGACGTAAAATATCATCAATGGTAGATCAATCATGGGTTAGAATCCCTTTGTCGTCGGAATAACTTTGGGAGGTTTTCGTGGAAAGTTTTCCGAAAAATCTCCTGTCCAAATATGTAGAGGTACACGATTTTCACAGGAAGTTGCTGCATCCTTTAAATCCCGCGAATTAAAATATTCGACTATTTAATAATGTCGGCAGTATTTTGCAATGCGCAAAATTAATTTCAAAAGTCTTCAGTATTTTACAATCTTAAATTAGCCTAATTAACACGATAAATTCTACAATGAAACAAAATTTGCTGAGGCTCATTACAATAAACTTTTGTTGTTGTTCCTAAAACTTTTTGCCAAAACTAGCAAGCCTGCTTGATGAAACCAAGCAAATTTGAGGCAGTGGGTGCGTTGCTTGTTTTACAGTGGCGCCATCTACGGCCAAAAATATGACTTCAGTCACACACACGTCATAACCCGATTTAGAGGGCGAACCCATTGATACATTCATCCACAGATCGTAATTTTGACCTGAACAAGAGAATGATCCATTTCGACACCCCCAGAGGAATTGATTTGTCATGGGAACTTGGAAAGCTTTGTAACTCGACATATTTAATGTGCACCAGTCACCATTTACTACAGAGGGAGTTTTCGACCAGCCGGAATCGAACTCACGACCTCTTGGACATGGGATCAACGCCCTTCCAAGCAGGCTATTCCGGCCGTAATAAACTTTTAATAAGTATAAAGCATTACTCTCTGCTTACTTTAAACTGTAGGAAATATTTTCTAACTAAACCTTAAAGAAATGTGAACTCAATGAAATAAACCTAAAAAGTGTGAGGTCAATTATCCTAGCTCTTAAAATGTTAGCCGGATTATACAATTAACCTTTACACAAAGTGATTTCTAAACCATGATTTGAGAACAATTCAGCGGAGCATCCTCAGAAATTTCACCCACATATTTATGGAAAATAATATGTGAAGCAAGGATTTTTTTTTTAAAATCGGAAACTGATATCAGAATCATTTTCATCCAACTTGATTCAAGCAGTTTTGTCCTTTCATATGATATTCTACAGTTGTTTAACACATGTAAAATCACGATTATTACAACTTGAGTGTAGGATTTTTTTTTTCTGAAATTATTTTCTGACTGGCACATAATTTTAGCATGGTGCCTTTTTGTTTTCCTCATATATTCTCTCTAAGATAAAATCATCAAAAGCTTAAAAAAGCAAGATCATATTAAATTTTTTGATATTTTACTGCATATTTAAAAAACGGATGAGAATTTTTCGATTAAATTCCTGATCAGATCATATGTTAAGATCTAACTATTGAAATTCGAGGACTGTCCACAAGATGTCGAGTCATCTTAGCTATACATGCAATTATTTAAGGAACCATTCTCACTGCGTGCAATTCACGCTCCTCCCATCCCTGTCGAGAGAGAACTGATCAATCAGGCACCCTATGGATGATGTTTTCAATATAAATGTAAATAATATTCAGCTCTTGACCTGCTATACTTCCGGTTGGAAAGCATACAGCTGCTTAGTACAGCTTATTCTGCGAGGCGATGTCTTCAAACAAATAATTTTGTTTTCAATGAAAGGAATAAAGTATATAATTTCTGAGCTCAAATCTGCTGTGTTTCATAAAATATTAATGATACTAAGTAATTGTGGAGAGTTTGATGTAAAATTTTGTTGTCTTTGCTAGATTTAGAAAAAACTCGCTTTTTTGGCAGCTCTCATTTGGCCTATTTTTTACTTGTTTCTTACTGTTTGTTTTTAGTGTAAGCAATCGCAAATTAGTGTTAGCACATTGTTCGAGCAGCGATATTAAGTTCATTTTACAAATTATCATTTAGGTTTGAATTTCGAAGTTGGTATGTTGTTGTCAAGGTAAAAAGTGTTCTATAACGATTTTATTCTTTCAAATAACAATTCTAACTTCTTTAAATGACGATTCTTCTTTTAAACACAAAAAATAAATCAGGTAGCAAATACACGAGTACAAGAAATAGTACTCAAGAAAGTATCAGAAACCAATGATCACATTGTGAGCCCAATGGCTTCAAAACACACTATTGTCCCGGAAATATAGGTATTCAAGAGCTTGCAGCGCTCCCTAGTGCAGAAAACACCATCCATCGACAGCGATCGGAAGTGCGAAGAAGAAACTGATTGGTGAGTAGCCAATCAAGTGAAAATGTAACAGGTTTCATTACAGCAGGTGCTGACATGGAGGAAAAAGTATGCGAGGATCCTGGCCCCGTATCGAATGGCGGCTTCGTGCCTGTCAATGGCCGCAGAGAAGACTCCTCCTCCTACCGTGAAGGAACGCGACTGAAATACTCATGTGAAGCTCCTTACATTCTTCGAGGGAATGAAACAATTACCTGCGAGTCAACAGAACTCTGGTCTTCAGATCCTCCCACATGTGTAGAAGGTAGGTGTATCTATCACAATTCCAATTCACTAGTGTATATATATATATATATATATATATACCCNAAAGTTTTAAAATATATATATATATATATAAGCCTATCTTGGCAGTAACGTCCACTGACTTCTCACAAAACAGCAACGAATCAACTAGTGATATCCATTTATCGAATACTATCACAGCTATAATTTTGGTGGGGGTGTACTGTAGTGTATCTACCACTACTAAAATACAATTCCAATTCTCTAGTATATAAGACATGTTAAGTCCATTCTATAGTCTATATGTTAAGTCCATTCTTTTTTGAGGAAAAGAAGGGGGTTGATTTTGGGGGAAGAATTAAATTTCTGCATTGCTTCTAGATGATCGAACTAATAGTTTAGACGTTATGTGGGTTTTATATACAACAAACTTGTATTTGTAGCGCCTTACGCATCTGGCATTGCTATCTAGTCAAATGATGCATTGTTTACTATGTATTTTTTTTTAATTTTAACGTTGAATCGAATGGGACAATACAAGAATCAATAGTTTAAAAGTTAAATGTGCTTTATGTATAAAAAAAAATACTTCTACAGGCGTGTGCATTGCTATCTAGAGGATATCTGAAATTGTAACGTATATTTTCCGATGTAATTTCAAGTGCTGAATGGGATAAATTTAAGTGAATAGGATAAATAGCTCTGGAATCTTTTTCTTCTTCGTCAGCATTACAGCCTAGTGCAGGCCAAGGCTTTCTCAATTAGCTGCCTCCAGGCAGAGCAACTTTGAGCTTTGGAATAATAAAGGATTTCTTCATAGTAAATACAATTGAAAAAAAGTACATATTATTAAACAATAATCATTGCAGTTTTTAAAATACTAGTCCTTTCGATTTGTTTTCATTCGATTCAACAGGAAAAAATACATAGGAAACAATACCAGCCCTGTATGTGTGTGTTCCGAAACTCATAGTACATGCGTTAGGGGGTAATAGAAAACAAGCGCAAATGTCAGCATAGAATCCATGGTCTGAATGCAAGTCGTAATGTGCTAGAGGGAAGAGATAGATGCGTAACCCTTAAGATTTACATTTTTTTTTGAAGTATTCTATTTTTACCATTTATATTTCAACATTTTCGATTTGAAAAACATATACAATACATCATTTTAAATACATAATAATAATGTACACGGTAAAAAAAAAATTTTATGGCATTTCTACAACATAATGCAAAATGAAGAAACTGTATTATTTGTGAAAAATGGATATAAAAATTTCAATTTGTATACTCTCATGGTTGTCATGAGTACAAAATTATGACAACCCTGAAGTAAAAAAATTTGAAATGTTACAGGGTTGCACTGGCGTTGTTTTAATGAGTGCTACCTGTTTTTGAAATATATATCGCACCCCGGCAACAAAAGTCAAAAAATAGCATCTGAGAAAAATCAGCCTAAAGAATACTATAAAACTTGTTCTGAAATAGCACAATCTAGAGATGAGACTCTTTTTGAGCTTGATGGAGCACTTCATACATATTTTTTATTGATATATACTTAAAATTGCTGTCTTTTGACTTGTGTCACTTTACTTGCCGGGTCCGATATTTTGCCTTAAAATATAAATAACATTTTTTAAGCGAGAATTAGTTTTTAATCAAGAGAAATTATTTTTAACAAGTATAAAGTAACATTGAACAAAAAATGGAATTCAAATGTTTAAGGCGACAAACCACACTTTTGTAATTAGCACCAAGTTAGGCTTAGAAGGCTTCAAATTTCTACAACTTATTCTAACTCGGGATGTATTAAGAGCAAAGTAAATATTTAGTTCGCTTTTGTAGACAAAGCAATAATTTTGTCTTCGCAAGGCATGGATGTTCTTTCCTCCTCTGTACTATCTGTCCTTACTGTGGGAGCAACGTTGGCCCACCTAATATGGTGCCCCTGAAAGAGAGGCCAACAAATCTGCCCTGTAAATGCCTGAATTGACGAAAAATTTTAAAACAGGTGGGCATTGGGGGAAAAAAAAACATCTATGCGTAATCAGTTACTGAGATAGTAATAATAAAGAATGTGTTTCCACTTAAGATTTTTTTTTTTTAAATAATCTTATGCATTTTAAAATTACAACAGGAATTGGAATCTAACCATTAAATTTACTATTAATATACATTTTAATAACTTAGTTAATTGTGTAGGTAACGTAAAAATTTACCATGATAAATTTTTACGACAAATTGTACATCCTTTTCTCGATTTATTTTTGCGTCTTACTAAACGGATCAATGGCGTTTGGTGATTAATCTTCTCTTGAAACACCTGTAAACGATTGGTTAAATAACTTTTTTTTTCTTTCCGCGGAAATTATCTGACCACAATTTTCATTTGATTTCCTAAAAAATTTAGCTGCATGTATATTGTTGATATAGAGCTGCCAACTTATCGGCTGTATACAGAANGACGATAGATTAGAAGAAACATCAGTGTTTGGAGTATCGGGCAAATATACACCGGGCAATGGCACTTGACCTTATAAAAACATCAGTGTAGGGTATACCGGGCAAATGTCTACCGGGCAGTGGCACTTAACCTTATAAAAACATCAGTGTAGGGTATACCGGGCAAATGTATACCGGGCAGTGGCACTTAACCTAAAAAAAACATCACTGTAGGGTATACCGGGCAAATGTATACCGGGCAGTGGCACTTAACCTTAAAAAAACATCAGTGTAGGGTATACCGGGCAATGGCACTTAACCTTAAAAATACATCAGTGTAGGGTTAAAATATCTATATAATTATATAATTGATATATATATATATATATATATATACAGGGTTATTTATAATTTCCTCCGGGGTTTCGGAGCGTTATAGTAAAAAAAAAAAGAAGACGAATATGAAAAAAAGAATCATATGAAATTATTCCGAAACTAAATTAAAACTTGAATACTTTCCAAATAATTTCATATGTTCTTTTTTGTCATATTCGTCTTCGTTTTTTTACTATAACGCGTCGAAAACCCGGAAGAAATTATAAATAACCCTGTGTATATATTCATTCTAACTGGTTAAATTACTAAAAACGAGTAATGAAAACATTTTTCGTATCCAAATCCTCTTTACAATACAATGTTTCATTAATCTAGTAATGTATAATTTCGGAGAGGTTTTCATCTCCCAAAACTACGCCACTGCAGTAATTGCTGAAATCATCCTTTAAAAATGTCAAAGTAAAATACATATGTTTTTTATGTTTGTTGCAGACATAAATAATTAACTTGATTTAATGCAGTTTCAATAGAGATGCGTAAAAACCAAGCTGTTCAGTTCTAAACGAATAAAGCTCCAAATTAATTCGCAAGAGTATTTCGGAATGGTGCTGCCATCTAGTAGAGACTTGAATAAAATTTAAAAGTCGTTTTTGCCAAGAAATGAATGGATTCCATTTTTATGGTATACAAAATCTCACTAACTTGTCTTCCTTGAATGCAGATTGTGGGAGGTCGTATCAGCGGACAAGGCAGCGCATCCATCACGGAAACAAGACAAAACCAGGAGAATGGCCGTGGACAGTGGCTATATCGAGAGAGAACGGGAGCTTGGTATGTGGTGGATTACTGGTCAATCGGCGTACAGTTCTCACAGCTGCGCACTGTCTTTCCACGGGAACGCGATACGTCCTCCGCTTTGGGAAATTTTGTCGTGAAAATAGTGAAGATGACGACCAAGTCCTCAACTCTAGGGTGAGTCTCAAATAAAATCAATCTTTATTTTTGAAGCGGGGCTTTAAAAGTTATGTTTTCTCTTTAAACAAATGTAGTAAATGATGTCAAAATCAATTGATGTACAGTCTGTTTACACAATAAGTTTGTGATAAAACACAAAAACGATAATCAATGCAGGTATGTAGCTTCTATGCAGCTCTGTACTGATCAGCTAATATACAGATGCAACATTCCAGATAACTAGTTTGCTCGGGAAGAGTAATTGAGGGTTAAGGCCTATTTAGACGATCCAAGGTTAGGACGAAGATTGATTGATATTGATGAAAACTTGTTTTGCTTTGAGCTTGGATTGTGTAAACGATCTTTCAAGTACTTGGTCCAAGTCCTTGGACGATAGTAGAGCCTACTTTCTAGCCAAGTTTTTCCTCCCTTAACCAATCAGCGTCTTAAGTTTTGTGACGTCAACAATCAGGCATCAAATGTCATTTTGTTGTCGGTTTTCATATATTCTAGTTCAAATAAACGAATCTGTTGTTGTTGTAGTTCATTTACGTCGCACTAGAGCTGCACAATGGGCTATTGGCGGCGGTCTGGGAAACATCCCTCAGGATGATCCGAAGACATGCCATCACAATTTTGATCCTCTGTAGAGGGGATGGCATCCCCGCTTCGATAGCCCGACAACCTGCACGCGAAGTCGAGCACTTTACGGTAGAACAGTTTAACGAGGACTCATACCGCACACCCTCAGTCCCTACTCAAACTGATCCAAGTGGTCACCCACCAGCACACTGACCGCCGCCAGTGATGCTTGATTTCGGTGATCTGCTGGGAACCTTGTCTTAACGATCAGTCCACTGCGGGACCTAAATGAATCTGTTAGGGTCTATTTGTATTATTATGATTTTATTTGCATTTATTTTGTAATTTTAAATGCATAAAAGTATGATTTTATAATGTTGAATATTAACAATGAGCTAGTTTTTTTTTCCCGACCCATCATTGACATTCAAGAACTTGGACAGTGTCGACGAAACATCCATTTTCTTGGAGAGAGAAATTCCTCCAATTCAAGAACTTGGAACCTTGTAAACAGGCCTTTAGAGCCAACAGAGTTTTCATGGAAAAACTTGGATCAAATGTGAAACTGACTGGCCACTCAATTTCATACGGCAGTCCTAAAGAATAGAGAAAAAAAAGCTGAAGCACGATTGTTAAATTAAATGTGTGGCACCATGTTAGAGAGTATGTTTGAAGATAAAATAAATTTAAATTCAAAGTTGATTATGTGGTTCAAACATCTTAAGACTTAGACAATTATGTTGGATTTAGGTTATTTAATTTAGGTATCTAACATGTGATCAGAAAGAAATAAAAATAATAAATAAAATCTATATATATTTCTCTTACACGGCGACAAAAAAAAGCCTCATTACAACTCCCCGAATGGCAACGCTAGAAAATCAACCAATGATTGCCGCTAAAAATGTCACATGCCAAATCTAGCTGAGGTAGCTCAACATATAGCGCTTTTAAAAACGGAAACTGAAATAACAATTCAGCTGCGGCAATCTTATACTATTAAGCTAGACAGAAGTGAGTAGTCTTTGTCGATAGATCTCTGTTATAGTATTTTGTCGAAGGCGCTTTTTTTCACGAATTTATTTGACGATTTTTGATTTATATCACGAATTTATTTGTTTTATTATTGTTATTAGTTATACATTGAAAAATGAGTCTCATTCAATGAGTCTTCATTTCAATTCAAATTTATTTTAATGACTTAGTATTTAGTAAAAAGATGTAATTTAAAAAAAAGAAAAAGTTGTTATATGGATTTTAATAATTGTTTTGAATTCTTAGAACGTTGTGCATTTGCAATGTACCTAAGTTAATAGCGCGCGAAGCGAGCTTAGTTTGCGCAGCAATTTTCGGGGGTTGGCGAGCGTTAGCGAGCAGGGGGCACAGCCCACTAGTATTAACTAATAGCATTCTGAAATTGAAGTTCGCGTAAAAAAAATTAACATAAAACAACTTATGATAATTGCTTCCAGATTCTCTATTGGAGGGGAAAAAACAATCTTTAACTGAAGTGTAATATTAACTTACAAAATGTTGTTTCATTTATTTACAAATAGCAAAATTTTTTCTCTTTAAGAGTTTTATTTTTTCACCTTTATAATTTAAACTTTTTTTTTTACCACACAAGAATAAAAAGTACTGTTTGTGCAAAGTGCATCAGCTAGTCCCGACGGTCTCGCCACAACAAACGGTTTTTGAATGAAGTGAGCAATTAAAAAACTTTTCAAGGCTCACTTTTTAAATATATAATTATAAATATATAAATATATAATTACAAAAATAAAAATCAATGACTGCTAATCTGTCATTAGAATATTAAATTGCAATCTTTTTAAAAGATTAAAGTACAAGTACGATTTCAAGGAAAGGCTAAAAACGAGTCCTCATGGAGATGAGACTGAGTCAGTCTGGCTTGCCTTCCCTTTTCAAAAATAAACTATTTCTATATGACTCCAAAACATGTTTCATATACCAAAACACCTTTACTACTTTTAAACAATTGATAGTTTTTTTTCTTCTTTAAAATAGTTTTCCGTTACTTCAGATACTATTCCATGGTCATACTACAAAATTTATTTCCCTTCTTAAGCGATGGTTCAAATATTACGTAACCACGCTTATGGCATTTTGAACTCTCACTGCGAATCACAAATCCTATCCCAAGCCCCTGCCCCATTAAGAAAGTAGGAATAACTCCCTCCCCCCTTGATTTTTGCTTCGAAGTTAGCGTAGTTATCTGATTTTATAAGAAAATTAAATTCAAATCAAAATCGTTTGGTGTAACGATACTAAATAACGACTTCTAAAGATTCAAATTATATTTCAACAAGGAATCTTACCTTGTTTCCGTTCCAATCCGTCTACACTTCCAGATCTTTGGTTGTAGATAACTAAATTAACACCTGTACTGAAAAAGACTTTGAGCAAGGTGTTTAAGAATTGTATTTCATAATCATAATTTAAAAAAAAGGGAAAGCTATTTACAGATGAAAAAAGTTGTAAGTTGTCCTCAACAAATTCTAAGCTACACCGCACTGGAGGAGAAAAAGTTCGTAAGTTAATGTTTCCGTATTTGTCCGCTAGGGGGGATCGAGGCATTCTCAACATTGGGAAGATACAGAATTTACCTTTTAATTCATTTCTTATAATAAATAAACTCCTTGAAGAAATATAATTCCAACCTTATCATTTTTCAAAGTGTACTTTTTTGCATTTTAAAAAATAAGGGAAGGATAATTTAAGTATCTCTCATCACTTAAGGAGCCTCATAACAATGAAAACATCGGAATCAATGCAAAGCAACATATTGATTGATTAACATTTTCTATTGCAGAGTACAAGACTCGTCTTGCATCCGAACTACAATAACTCCACCTATGCTTTCGATATTGCTTTGATTAAGTTCTTTCCAAGGATTCGATACACACCTAGAATACAACCCGTCTGCTTACCTACAAAGTCAACTACGACGTTTAACCTTAGACCCAACAAATACGGATACGTAAGTTTCTTTCATTTGTCACGAACAACTGTCTACACTACAAGACCGCTTCCGGTGTATTTGTAAGAAATTTGGCTCACAGCGTGATTAGTATATCTTGTATGCATAACTGCCAACATGGGTAGGAAAAAATCCAGTAGATTTTACGAAACACAAAATTCATGCTAATTGTTAAATACACAGTAGGAAATACACATAGGGAATTTTTATAGTCATCAAATAGAAAAACTGCAATATTTTCCAGTTATAATTGGCATTAAACCAGGGCTCGAAGAAAGTCGGAAATTTTACCCGTCCCCGAGGACGGCTTGTCCAACAATGTACCCGTCCTCCTTTGAAACTAACCCGTAGCTTCTAATTAAATAAAAATATAATTTTCTCTTATTTATTACAAACGTTTATATAAATTGCACAATGAATTAGTAGCTACTAGGATTACAAATACTAAGTTACTAATAGTAAAACCTAGTACTTCTTTTATGAAATAATTTAAATGACAAAGGTCAAGTTATCTGGAATGTCAATTTATCCGAGGGTACTTCGTTTTTTAAATGAAACAAATATGACGTTTGCCAGTTCCACAATCAAGCAAATAATTTAGAGGTATCTGCACAGAAATCTGAAAGGGGTTTTCCATTTAGGTGGATGTTCATAATTGCGTTTAACCCTTCTTGTTTAAGACCAGTACGTAATGTGTTTTTTTGTAAGCTCATTGCTGAAAAGCCTCTTTCAACCACTGCAGTACTCCCAGACAGAGAAAACATCAATTCCACCAAGCGCAGTATGTTGCTGTATTTCTAGGTTAGAGGGTCATTTTAGAAGTGAGGCGCTAGACTCTTGTAAGATAACAAAAATTGAAAATGTATCACGAATATTAACGGGAAAATGGCCGTCCGCGCGGACGTCGGATTCGAGATATTTGCTGTCCGCAGGGAATTTTTGTCCGCCGAGGACGGGCGGTTTTTTGAGCCCTGCATTAAACATACTTTAAATGTTATGAATTAAGTTTACTCATAATTTTAAATATTAATAGGTATTTAATTCATCATCATAGTTAAGATTTTTTTAAATTAATTTAAAAAGAGAGTTCTGAATAAAAATAACCTGAACATGTTTGAACAAAAAAATTTTTGAACTGATTTCTATAAATGAGGTTCGCGTCATTATGTATTAGTTATACTTATTTTAATATTCAAGCAATAATCTGAGCAAATATTCGATTACAATAGGGATTTTTTTTAGGAAACTTACTCAAATTTAGGGAATTTTCTAAGATATACAAAAACCAGGAGAACTTTAATTAAACCAGGAGAAACTTGCAAAATCCAGTAGAGTTGGCAGCTATGCTGTGTTTAAAAAAGAATCGTCATTTGAAGACCTGTCATTTCAAGACATCACCATTTGAAGAAAATAATCGTTATAAAACATTATTTACCTTGTCAACACTATACCAACTTTAAACCTAAATGACCATTTTAAAAATGAACCTAATCTCGCTACACGGCTTGTAATGAGAATAAACAGAAATGGTAAGAAGAGGCGAAGTCGGGACTGCCAAAAAAGCGAGTTTTTCTTTTCTTTTTTAAGGTAGCAGCCATGTCACATTTTTTAACGATACATCTTTAAATAACTAATTCAAAATTTTCCATCAAACTCACCAGAATTACTTAATATCTTATGAAATACAGCAGAATTATATAGTTTATTTCTTTTATTAAAAACAAATGATTTTTGTTTAACAATATCGCATCGTAGAATAAGTAGCCGTATACTTTCCAACCGGAAGTAGAGAAGGTTAAGAGCTCGAGATTGCTGTTGTTTACACTTATATTGAAAACCAACATCCATAGTAATGTCATGTTAAAATATTTTTATGATTTCTAAAAATTCAATAATTTATCTAAAATTAGTTTGATTTTTAAGACCTCGTTTTGTGAGATGGGTATTCAAAATTATACCATGTCTATTGACTACCAAAATGGGCTACACTTCACACTCTTTCATCATTTAGCATGTGAAGCTGGAGGAAGGAAGTTTGTCTTGAATTTTAAATTTTTTAAAGTTAGGAAACGATTTGGAAATCAAAACTACAATAAACAAAGTACTAAAAGAAAGCGTCATGGAAATTAAAAAAAAATATTTTTAACAATTAAATACAAAAAATATTAAGAAAGGGAAAAATATCGTAGTACATTCCTATACAACTGGAAAAAAAAGGAGAGGGAACTGGTCTTCTCCCTAGATGGCGTTGCGATCGTTCTTGTTCATTTACGTCGCACTGGAACTGCACAATGGGCCATTGGCGACAGTCTGGGAAACATCCCTGAGGAAGATCCAAAGACGTGCCATCACCATTTCCATCCCCCGCAGTCATTAGATAATGACTCTCATATGCGACCCGTGAAAGGAAAGTGATTTCGATGTACTTAATTTCTTAGAGGAAATAAAACAGCAACAAAAAATTGCATAGAATAATGGTTAAATGAACACATTCGAAAGAAAAAAAACTGGCTCATGTAAACATATCTTCATGAATCCCTTGTATTTAAAACAAGCCATTTACTTATTCGAAACTATTCTGAACATCCATTTAGTTTGCCTCCTTAAAGTAGTTACTACAATTTCAAAGTAGTTTATTGTCACTACATTTTTAAAAAAAAGTAGTTGTAATGAATTACATTTGTAACGAAGTAGTTGTAGTAAGTTACAAAAATGTTTTTTCGACCACTGGGTTAGTTCAACCTCAAAGCCTAGTTTACCTTAATGCTTCATCCAGGAGTTCCCTATCTTCTAGGTTGGGTTACAAGGATACGGAGTTAGATACCCTCAAAAATGGGTCTTTAACACTTATTTTGGGCTGGGATAGCCTGGTCGGTAGGGCGCTGGGTCCATGTCCGAGAGTTCGAACCCCACAGGCCGAAGAATCCCCGTTTAGTAAAGTGAATAATGCATGTTAAATCTGTAGAGTCGCAAAAGTCCCATAACAAGTCAAAATTACGATCTGTGGATGAATGCATGGGTCCGCCCTACAAACGGGTGTGGCAGAACTCTTGGCCACTGAAACCCTTCTTCTCTTTTGCAGGTGACAGGGTGGGGACAGACGGAAACTGATCTTCCATCCAAAGAGCTGTTGATGGCTTACCTACCAGTGCAATCGGGTGAGAAATGCATCCAATCCTATGGTGAGAGGATTCGACCCGGGATGTTTTGTGCCGGATTGGATCTCGGAACCCAATCGAAAACTGCATCTGCGTGTACTGGGGACAGTGGTTCGGGACTGGTCTTCTACGACACTCACCATCGTTACACAGTGGAAGGTATCGTGAGCTCTGGTATACCAGGACAGTGCGGAATGCCTGAAAAGTATACAATCTTCACAAGGGTTTCAGATTATATTATTTGGATTCGAAGTAACATTAAATGATGTTATCATTTCTATCCAATAAAGAATCTAGTTGTCCAGTACGAATCTTGAATAACTTATAATAGAGTCAAACCCCGCTATAGTGAAATTTCAGTTCACTCTATCCGTACTATAAACAATTTTAACTCCCTTTTATGACACATTATTTAAACAAATGACCCATAAAAAGGAAATTTAAAAAACAATATGTAGCAACAAAACTTTTTTTTTTATGACTCTTCGTCTTGCGTACAAAATATTTAGGAATGGGAAACTGAAGAAGCAAACAAGAAAAAATGGTTACATTCCCCTCAATAGATGATTTCAAAAATCGGTATATGTATTTCATGTAGAAATTTCAAAACTACCAAAAAATGAAGAAGAAAAAATCAGTCGGTGTCAGAAGAAAGTTCATACTACAGGGGTGATTGTGAGTCCAACTCAAAAATCCAGAAAATTTCTTGAGTAAAATGATTAAAGACGCATAATGTCTTTATAAATGTAAATCATTGGTATTTTCAAAACATTGAATTCTAAATAAATTATATATACAGCATAATTTAAATGAATGATTATGTATAAGTTTATCTCTCATCACATTTATTATTCTACAAGAAAAAATATTTACAAATGAAAGACACCAAGTATAAATTCTTCTTCCTGGGCACTACAGCCTACGGCAGGCCAAGACCGTCCCAATAAGTTTTTGCCAACTTGGTCTATTCTGTGCCATGGCCTAGTTCTAATATTTTTAAATAAAATGTTCAAGTATTATATACATAAATGTGATCGATGATTTCTTAAAACTTCTGGACCTAAGATTTCCGGAGCGCAGTTAACGAAAAATCCGGAAATTCGTATTTTTTCTAGAGCACAATCACCTCTGATACTATCCAATTTCCTTTCCTTCTTTTGGTTCACTATACACGGGAGTTCGACTGTATAACGATCGCATTTTCACGTACTAAAATTTAACCCTTTTAAGCTACGAAATCAGACACACAAACCTGGCTGCAGGCCGATGTTACTTTTTGCATCTTGAGAACATGTTTAATCGAAACATCTTTGAACAGAACAATAAAATTCCTTTATCCATAAATTTTTCTTAAAAATAATTATTTAGTATTTTTAAACAGTCGAAAACTCTGACTTGTAAGGTATACAAACTTCTATGACTGTGGGATAAAAAAGCTTGTGCACCGACTTAACAAATGTTTGGATAACGGGGGTGATTATGTCGAAAAATAATAAATAATCGAGTTAATAAGATGTAACTGACGTTTTCTAAATAAATGTTTTTTTTAAGGAACGCGAACCATTGTATATTTACTTTTCGAAACGCCCTCGTAAAATAAACGTTAAGTTACATTCTTTCATCCAGGGTCCTGTTTTTGTGAATTTGTGCAAATAGGGACCTGTTTTTGCAAAAAACTTTTCCAAGGAGTTTTTAAATTGTAAAGACATACAAGATTATGCTCAACGCTGTAAAATTATAAGAAAAAATAATTAAATTTTAAAAAATAAACAGCAATTGCTGCAACTAAATTAGAGATGCAACATACAAATATTTGGTATTTAGCCTATACTGCTCAACACAGAATATTCATTTCGGACGAATAAAGGAAGAAGCGTCTGACGAAGACAAAACATAGTTCGCTTACATTTGTCTTCCCACCCCCTTTCTGGAAAGGGTTTATTCGATTAACAAAACAATAATGAAGATAAACAAATTTGTGAAGGGCTCGCTTTTAAGTTGAAATATTTTGTGAAGAGTCCGTTTTTATGAAAAGATATTTTGTGAAGGGTTCGTTAACGGACCCAAATTTCTTCTAAACAGACTCCTGGCAACGTTCTGTGACAATGTTGCCGTGTCACTGCGATTTTGCCACGGGGACCAGAAGTTTAATGAGAGTGGGATCATGAAATAATCAGAAACATGGCAAACGGTCATCGAGTTGAATAGATGATTAAATGAACTATCTCAAGAAACTGAAGTGGAAAGAAAAACTCTACGATATAAAAACTTCATTTCCTTTGAAATATTGAAGATGTATATCCATAGCGACATGTACCGATGGCCCAACAACAGACTTCAGACGGGAATGAGGAAACAAAAGCAATTTTTGAAACAAAAATCGTAAAGTTATTAACTAAAAAGGGAAAATAAAGCTTGAAAAACAGTACAAGAATAACCACGCAACCCGAGAATGATTAAAAAAATTAAACTAGAAGTTTTGTGCTTCACTTTCTTTGGAAACTTTACATTTTCTGTTTCAAACAGTTTAGTTTTTTTTAACCTGTCTCGAAAAAGGGCGCCTGTTTTCGAGTACTGGAAACACGTAAACTGTAATTAACCACTTCCTTTACACGTGTTTTTGAAAACAAAACAAAAAAATTCAAAAAAATCACAATTTTTATTTTATTAATAAATACAAGAACTGAAACAAAACATAATACACAACTTCTAAGTTGAAATTGTAATTTTTTCATGCGGTAAAAAAATATTTAATTTACCATCAGTTTACTATTTCAAATTATCTCGGGCAAATGAAAAAAGTTATATATTAGTCTTTGTATATGTTCATATCTACATAAACTGAAAAATCATCTGCATTACTTTCACTTTCGCTCGCGAACACCATTTTTTTTACTCTTTTTTCTGCGCAAATTCATCAGCCCATGGTATAAAACACGTCTGCAGTCCCACCAATAGCAAAACTCCCAAACAAATATTAGCAAACTTACAATCACAGCAGTTTATTACAGGGTTGGCAAGGTTTAGGACAGAATGGATTAATCCACGGTTTAAACCGTCCTGTTCAAAACCCCTTTGTCCAAAACCCTTTTACTCAAATTATGTCACAATTTTACCTGAACAATATTTAAGAGGTAAAATAAACATAGAACTAATAACATATTGATAATTAAATATACTAGAGAATATTTGTTTTTAAAAGTATAATGTTTTATTAATATTGTTTGACTCTTCAATTTAAACAAAGAAAGATTAATCAGTAATCAAGTTCAATTGGTCCTCTCATTCAATAGTACATAACTGAAGTTTGGCCTTGCCATACAGGTTAAAATATTAGGGACTAAGTGCTTGGTTCGTCATAAACAGGTTTATTTATCTATAGTACTATTCAAGAATACTTTTATTTCATTCATGTTCAATTCTTTTAGCATAGTGGTGATACATCACCAGTGTCAGTAACTGAAACTGATGTTATGCCCTTCAAAACTGTTAATACATTTTTCAGTTATTTTGTATTTTCAATTTAAACTAATATATTTATATTTAAAAAATTTTTTTAAAAAAATAGATGTCTTTTTTATTATTCTGTGATGCAGAAATTATAAAATTTTTTAAAAAAAATATTGTGAAAAATAAAAGGTTAATTTTTGAACAAATTTAGTATTTTTTTGGAGAAAAATTATTATTTTTTAATATTGCCATATTTATCCTTATGTAAAAATATTATTTATCAGTATTAAAAGCATATTTATATTTAAAGGATTAGGTATTCACTTTTGTTGTTCAATGAATTGTGGAGCTTCAAAAATTATTAACCTTTTCCTATTATATTATATTATTTTCTTTTAATAAGTTATAGTAAATTGTATAAAAAATATCAAATATTTATTGATACATGTAATTATTATGTGTACAATGGTTACACCCATAGAATTTTTACCTTTTACCAACGTTCAAGGTTTTGGACACTTTAAGACAGTTTTACCCAGTTTAAGACAGTAAAACCCACGTGTCCTGTCCAAAACCAGTTTAGGACGTCCAAAACCCCAACCCTGGTTTATTATCTTTTGCTTTGCCGGATAAAGCAAAATATATTGACGAATTCTGCTATGCCCAAGTTTACATGAGATAGGAAATATTTGTAATATATACATACCAGGAATAATGAGGGATGTGGTTAAGACCTTGAATACTAAGAAGGTGCAAATTAAGTTTTTAAATCATCAAGATAAAGAAAATTTCATTTCAAAGCAATAAAAGGTTATTTAATAATTGGAATAATTTGCAATACATAACATTAGAGAGAATGAAGTGATAGCCTGAAAGCATCGTGGGCCACATAAAAGCTTCCTGTCTCTTGGGGCTTCAACACAAACACTTGATTGAAACTGTGGGGAGGGTCATCATCAGTCTGTGAAATACAACAACAACAACAATTAAACATCTTTTTAGCGACTTTTTCTTACAATTACAGTTAATATTCCATTATTATTAATTTTTTTGCGGTATTTTGTTTGTTTCGAATAATACTTGTCGTACACCTATTTTTACCACAACTGGTCATTTGACGGGTATATTGCTTTATAAGGTTATCGGATCAGAAGTGACGATGTCATGCGTGCTCGACGCATTGCATTCGATGAGTCGTACATTTCTGCATAGACTGGTGCACAGTGAGTTCAATCAGAATAACTGTGAATTCAAATTTCAAGAAAGTATACCTAAAATTTTAGAGTGGCACTTTTGTTTAAGAAAAAGTGACAAAAAAAGTTTTGATCAGTAGCTTATATTTTATTTTGATAGCTTCACTTCATTTCTAACTGTTAGTCTTTACCCAGAAAAATGTCAAAACAATTAGGAGAGCACAAGTTCTGAGAAAAAAAAATAACAATTAGAAGAAATATGTTTGTGGAAAATGTACAAAGGAAGGAAACATCCTGTACATGTAAAAAATGCATTGAGCAATGAATTAAAAATTCTTATTCTTCGTGTTTGTAATACATAAAAGTGGGAATATACAATTATCTTTAATTATAATTAAGTTTTTTTTAAAATTTATTTCCTTCTTAACATCCGTATTTCATACACTCATTTAAGTCTGATCATTTGACTGGCTATGGTAGAAATAGGTATACATTAAGTGTTATTAGGTTGGTTTAGTGTTAATTTAGTACAGTACGGAACCGATTATCCGGTTTTCTGAATCGTTACAAAAATCCGTTTTTTTATTGTTAAACCCAACTTTAAAAAAAAAAATTTTTGGAAATAATCTTAAAAAGAAGAAAAAACGATGGAGTAATACACTAATGATTATTTCAAAAATGATGGTAAGGTAAACATCTCTCAAAAAAGAAAGAAAAATCCTAAAATCTTATAAGGGAAAAAAAAAATTTTTTTTTTAAAATGGCGGGAAAATTTATCGAATTTCGTTCCGATCGAATTTCGTTCCGGTTTTTTGGTTTTCCGGTTTTTTGATTTCCGGATAACGGATTCTGTACTGTAATAGAAAATTTAAAAAAAAAAAAAGCTATTTTCCCATACATCACATTTTAAAATATTAATATTATGAGACTTCAAACTCATGCTATCATTTAAATAAATACAGTGGAGCACCGTTTATACAACGATCACTTATACGACGTTTACATTTATACGACGTTTTAGTGTGGTCCCAAATCATTCCTATTCATTTTAATGTAAAAATATATCGTTTATACGACGCACAGAATCGGTTATACGTCGGTTTTTAGATTTTGTTCACGTTTATTAAATTTCTTATTTTTTCTTGTGTATTTTAAAAAAGGACGGAATTTGCCTACATGAATGATACAGAAAAGGGTGTCAACAAGAATGCTTGGTTGACGACCGTAATTTTTACTAGATGACTGAAAAAACTAGACAATGTTATGAAGAGGCAAAAACGAAAAATTTTGCTATTCATCGACCAATGTCCAGCGCACCCATCGATACTAATTATTTTGGAAAATGTAAAAGCTCTCTTTTTTCCTGCAAATTGCACAAGTGCGCTTCAGCCATTAGATTTGGCCGTGATTAGAAATCTAAAATTGCATCATAGAAAGCAGTAAGTTCAACTCGCTATTCAAAGCATTGTAGAGACTAATAGCAAGAAAATATAATTAAAGGTAACATACATTCAAATTGCTCACTGCAATTTTTCTTCTTTGGTTATTTGTTTGTTTTGCTTTGTCTAATTTAGAAATTTATGTAAATCAACACGTTAAACATTAAAATTAACTGAAAACAGAGTTAGTTTCAGTTTTAGAAGTAAAAATCGATTATACGACGTTATCGTTTATACGACGTTTTTCGGTGGTCCCTTCGGCGTCGTACAAACGATGCTCCACTGTATATATAAAAATGAATTCAATTTTTTTTTTCAGTAGTGTATGTTTGTTATGTGCTTTGTTAATTTCATATTATCAGTATAATTTGATTTTACATTATTTTAACAGTTCTTTACATAAATATGAAATTAGGGTTCACTATACTTATTCACATAAAATAATAAAAAACACAATTATTTTTATTTCTTAAGAAATTCACAAATATTATTTAACAGTTGCTTTTTAGTTTCAACTTATTTAAAAATAATGTGTATTAAATAGCTAGTAAATTAATACTATTATTTAAACTAATTATTAATTCCTTGATGTTTTTTTCTCTGAAGAAAAACATTTTTTTTTCACCATGGAAGATATCCCTGCTTTGTTTCTTCTAAGTTAATATTTTAATTGTTCGTTTTGAAAATTTAATTTAAAGTTATTTTCTATGTTACAAGGGGTGCAGAATATGTCCTATTGAGCAAACTAGGTTTGGGAAAATTCAGTAAAATTTTACACTTCATACATATTTGTGCAAAATGAGCAAATCATGTTTTCTTTTCAATAATGATAGACTAATTTTTTTTCTAGTTAATTATTGATATTGAAAAGACACACACAAATATATATACAAGCTCAGAAAATAAAAATATATACATACAAGTCCAAAAAATAAAAGATTATCTTTTATTTCCAGTTTTTATTAATTTATTTTCCTCTTTTACTTTTTTCCTTTATTCATTGTTCTGTAATTTTTTTCATGTTTTCTCTACATTTTGAACTTATTTTATGAGTTCTATTTACTTGCAGCTTATGTGCAGTAAATAATACTTATTGCTTATCTTAATTTTCTTCATTTTTTTTCTTCTCCTTTTTGTATTTATCTAATTTTGAACGGAACCAGACATTTGAGTAACCCCTTTCTGAAGATTCTCAATTCGTGTGATTTCGTGGTCGATCTGTTTTTTGGTGATTACTGCTGTAGATTTAATGATATATTTTTTTTAATGTGATGATGATTAACAAAACGCGATAATGGAAGTAATTAGTGTGTCCCCTCCTCCAACAAAATGCGAGAATATCCCCATAATATTAGCATAAAAAAATATTACATATTTAGTTTTAAAAAATTTATATTCTTTTTTGTTTTTGTAAACACAGTGTTTTTGTTACCTTAAATTAGTAGCATACATCTTTGCTTTATTGAAAGTATCTTGCAGAAAAAGATAGTGCTGGAGAATTTTGTCGCAAAAAGCCCGAAAAAAATTCAGCAGATATGTTAATTCAAAGTTTTAAATTCTTCTATTGAAGGACAAGAAAATATGCAAGCAGATTAAAGTAATGAAATAGAAAGATGGTGACACTTGAATAATTTATTCACATTACATTATAGATAGGTACTTCCCTCATTTGTGCTTTTCTTAAATCTGGTGTTATTATAAAATATGTGGCCCAAATGTAGATAAATATTTCGGAAGAAAACAAGTTATTTTATATTTCCACATGTATTGTCATGCATGTCCTACATTCTTGTTATAATCAATGGTGCCTACACGTGCTCCCAGTGTTTGTTCTAATTATCATGATAATATCATAGCTGCCAACTGTTCAGAATTTTTCGGATTTGTTCCTTATTTTTAAATCAAATCTGAAAATCTGATATTTTTGCTTTTAAACCAATCCCTTGTTCTGATCGACGCAAGCACGCTTCCTGTGATTATTGTGCAAAAGTAATTTTTAGTAGCTTTTTATTGGAAAATATTATTACAATAGCTGTTGCTGATCATTTCACTAAATTGAATCTTAAACAACTATAATTTTTTTAAAAAATTTATTCTAGTATTTGAACAGTTGCATCAGAAATATTTGCTGATGATGTAGATTATTATTTACCTGTGTTCTACAATTTGGGGAAGAAAAATTATATATTAATAGGTAATGGTTGTTTTTAAAATTATTATAAAATATTAATGTTATGAATTCCCCACTAAAGATAGTATGTAAATTAGTAAAACAAAACTATAAACTTAGTCTTTAGTGGGAAATTTATAACATTAATATTTTATAATTAATAGTTTAAAAATAACCATTACCTATTAATATATAATTATTCTTCCCCAAATTGTAGAACACAGGTAAATAATAATCCAGCACTATCTTTTTCTGCAAGATACTTTCAATAAAGCAAAGATGTATGCTACTAATTTAAGGTAACAAAAACACTGTGTTTACAAAAACAAAAAAGAATATAAATTTTTTAAAACTAAATATGTAATATTTTTTTATGCTAATATTATGGGGATATTCTCGCATTTTGTTGGAGGAGGGGACACACTAATTACTTCCATTATCACGTTTTGTTAATTATCATCACATTAAAAAAATAATAAATATCATTAAATCTACAGCAGTAATCACCGAAAAACAGATCGACTACGAAATCACACGAATCAAGAATCTTCAGAAAGGGGTTACTCAAATGTCTGTTTAGGTTCAAAATTTAATTGTTGTAACAGGGTGCGCAGCCAAATCTCTCAACAAAAATAAGCACCTTTAAATTACTTTCTAAGCACTAAAAAATATTTTTAAGCACTATATACATTAACAAAATGTAAAATATTTTTCATATGATAAAATAACTAAAACGAGTTTCTTACAAAGAATTCTTTTCTTGATTGTAATAATCACGATAAAAAGATAGAGATTTTTCGGTTCAATTTCAGAGGGTGGAAAATGAAGTCTGAAATTGAGAATATCTTGCAAGATGCAGCAGAGTTGCAAACGAGAGTGTAAATCTCGCTAAACCCAGCTCAGTAGACGCACAAGCGACCTCCCAAGTATTTCATCATCAAACATGATTGGGGTGCTATCATACGGTGCGGGCCGACGGAATGCCGAAATAGATTGTGGTTAAATGATTTGTGAAAACGCTGAATAGAACAAAGTGAAAACCGCACTTTTGCATAATATGCAGTAAAAATCGACACGGTAAAGGAAAAAATTTCATTTTCGAAGAGGAAAAATATAGCACTTTTTAAAAACACCCCATGAAAAAGCACCTTTAAGGGCATTTAAAAAATGAAAATTAACACCTTTAAGCACTTTCTAAAAACACTACGCACCATGTGTAATACATAATAATGTATAAAAAATATTGGGTTTTAAAAACAATGTGGAAATTAAAAGCAATAATTGCCATAAAAAATAGACAGAATAATTGCCTTAAAAAGTAAATTATCAAATGCACAATTCGAATTTCCCATACTACCTGAAATATATCGGGACACCTGAAAGCCATGTGGAAAGCAAAAACAATAACTGCAAAAAATACAATCAAAATGGATTTACGATATCGGCGTTAATTGAGCACTTCAAAATGTTATTATTTAAATGCGTGATTCAAGTTTTGCACATCATTTACTGCAGAGAAGCAAACCATTATTTTTAAAAAAAAACTTCCCATCATCTGCAAGAACTATGTAAGACTAGGTGACAATGTCGCTGCGATTCTGCCAAAGGAAAATAGTCAATATTAATTTATAATTAAACACGTAATTAAGGGTAAGACAGATTAACTTTGTTATTGCCATTTGACAGAGAGATCAAGGTTCGATTGTCTTTGCATCTCTTTCAAATGAATAATGATTTTTTGTGTTAATTCAGAGGGAGTCATTCTCGTTTTGACTGGCGATCAGTAAGGTTGTGCAGCTTAAGTCCATTTGTTAATATAAGTTATTAAGTTTAATTTCAGACTTTATTTAATAAGTTCATTTTCAACAAACCAAAATGTCTTTATGAATAAAAAAACCTTTCACTCTTCTAGGATCATGGAGAGACACATGATTGCAAAGGAACCCATTGTATGCTGCTGGGAACATTTTATAATTATGAACTTTTATTTATCTTAATTTTTCCTAATAATTATTTTCAGAAATTGCATTGAAATTGATACAGTATATTTAATTGCATAGCTGCCACAGGAAAAAATCTAGTAGATTTTATGAAATATAAATTTCATGCTAATTGTTGCATAATATACTAAATATTTTAAACATAGGGAATTTTAGAAATTTTTAGTCATCAAAAAAGAAAAATTAAATAATTGGCATTAATATGCTTAAAATGTTGTCAAGTGTCTGTCTAGACATTTTGTGAAAGGTCCGTTTTTGTAAAAAAATTACTTATTGTTAATATAAAATAAACTTTAAGTCACATTTTTACAACCAGGGTCCTGCTTTTGTGAATTTGTGCAAATAGGGTCCAGTTATTGTAAAAACCTTTTTCAAGAAGTTTTTAAATTGTAAAGAGATACAGGATTATACTCAACACTCTAAAATTATAGTAAAAAATTTTAAATTTTGAAAAATAAACAACAATTGCTGCTACTAAATTCGAGATGCAACATACAAATATTTTGTATTTAGCCTATACTGCTGAACGCAGAATATTAATTTCGGGCGAATAAAGGAAGAAGCGCCTGCAGAAGAAAAAATAGTTCGTTTACATCTGCCTTTCTCTCTCCCCCCCCCCCCCCCCNCCGCTCTTCCTGGGAAGGGTTTACTCGATTAGCAAAACAATAATGAAGACAAACAAATTTGTGAAGGGTCCGATTAAAAGATAAAATTATTTTGTGAAGGATCCGTTTTTATGAAAAGATATTTTGCGAAGGGTCCGTTAACAGACCCAAATTTAGTCTAAACAGACCCCTGGCTGTGTATTATGTTTACTGATAATTTTGAATAGTAATAGGCACTTCATTCATGAAAAATACTTAAGATTGGATTTTTTAATTAATTTAAAAAGAGAGTTCTGAATCAAAATAAACTGAACATTTAAGAACAAAAAAAAGTTTTAAATTGATTTCTATAAATTATTCTCGCTTCATTAGGTATTAGTAATTCTTATTTAAATATTCAAGCAAGCAATAATCAGTGCAAAAATTTTATTTCAATTGGGATTTTTTTAGGAAACTTACTCAATTTTGGGGAATTTTTTAAAATGTACAAAAACCAAGAAAATTTTTATTAAACCAGTAGACCAGGAGAAATAAGCAAAATCCAGTAGAGTTGGTAGCTATGTAATTGTAATTAAATAATTTGATTAAAAAGCTGTCATTATGAATCTATGTTAGTTGTTAAAAGAGAACTAAGACAATTAACTTTGTCCAATGATTGAAGAATGTTTTAAAGATTGTTACCTTTAGTTGACCTAAAACTGATATTAAAATTCCACCATCAAACATAGGCTGAGCATCAACAGCGGTTATACTGTGTGCAATCTTCTGGAAGGTCAGGCTCTAACAAAATTATGAACATTAATTAATAGAGAGAATATCAACAACAAAATTATTTATTAATACAGATAATTTTTCATGGGACTAACAGAGATTATAAAATATGACCATACCGGCCAACACTGGAGAAATAAAATAACGGAGATCTTACTTTACTAACGAAATTTTTTAGGCTATGAGTTTTGATACATCATGCATAATCATGTAAGTCAAAAAGAGAAATTTAAAATTAGAAATAATATAACCACTTACATTTAGCGAAGTCAAAAATATGTGCATAAATCTTAATCTAAAGAAAGTTTATTTAAACCATTATTTATAATGAATTAAACTACTTTATTTTATAACCGTTGTGAAACAGTCAACTACAAATGTTCAACTCTGAACCCTTGTCATTTTGAACTAATTCCAGAAGACAAGGGAACTCCTGGATCAAGTACTGGGACAAATTTGACTCCATGGAGGATTTTTGATAAAACTAATCCACACTTGCATTACATGAAGGAGAAAACCATGGAGACCTCCAATAGTTAGCCGGACGGCAAGGGGACTCTAATCCATGATCGGCCTATTGATATTTCTAATCTCTGTCTTCGTAAGCGCCATGCTTTACTCCAAAGTGTCCTTCTCTTATCTTTTTTTTTCTTTATTAAACTGTAAATGATAAAACTTGAAATTGCAATGGAAGGATCCATTGCCGTCGATTAAATTAAATTAAACTTTCAATGAAACATTTTATTTGTCTATTTATAAAGCGCTTAATCACCTAAAAAGAAAGAAATCACTTTTTAATCAATGGTCAACTCTTTTCAACCATATGGCAACCATAGTTCAACTGTTTCAGGTGGTTGTTGAACAGAAAGTCGAAGTTGGGGTTGAGTTGATGGTTGAATTGAACGAATTTTCGCTATGTGTGATATGCCTTTTAGAATCTTGCTCTAAACAGAAAAAATAATTAAATCATGTTAAATCCTAGTAGCACAGTATAATTAATTATGTATTTTGGTGTCGGATGTAAAATATCAAAAGTGCATTGAGAATCTTTTTTTGTTAATCAAAATGAAGTGTTTCTACACATTTGTACAAGATGACCAAAAAAAAAAACTGCACTAGTTAGAGATTCACTTATTTTAGTTAAAAATTTCAAGCAATATAGCTTTTCCTTTAACAGCATAAAACTTATTGAAAATTGATATTTATAAGTTAAAAGTGATTATTTCTAAATCTTCAGGTTAACTAACCATGAAAATGATGCCTTGTTTAAAATTTTGGTCACCTTGTTGACCTTACGGTAGAATTGCCCAACTAGAAATTCGTACCCATCAAGTACTCAAAAAAAAAAAAAAAAAAACTACCGTATATTCCGGCGTATAACGCGCACTTTTAATGCAAAAAATAAAATTGGAATTTACGGGTGCGCGGTATACGCCGAATATAAAAAATTATAGATTAAAAAAATTTAAATATAGAAAAATACTTTTATTTTAAAGAAATGACATACCTTTACTTATATACTTCATTGATTTTCGTTATTACATAAATAGTTCATTATATTCGTCTTCCGCTATAATTACAATTATTAAAATTTTTTTGTATTATAATTAGAAAAATTTTTTTGTATTATCTGTAAGGTGGGACCTAAACATGTCCCACTCTAAAAGGCTTTCTGGTTTTCTGACGCAACCAGGACGGATTTGCAAGATGTTTTTTACCCACAATTTAACACCATTTTTGTCCATCCAGAATCACATTATTGCTCTTTCCATTCTACCCTCACATACATGTCAAATTCAGTTCCTTTATTTTTGCAAAAGATAGGGAAAAATACTTTTTATTTACAATCTTGAAAGACGAGATATTGCACATGTACAATCCAAATTTTCGTGCGCGTTGTACGAAGAATGTATCTTAAAATTTAAAAAAAGTAATTAGAAATTACGGGTGCGCGTTATACGCTGGGGCGCGTTATGCGCCGGAATATACGGTATGTTTTTGTTTTCCTTCTTCCTAACAAGCACATATGATTAAAAAATTTATATTCTATGTTTATATATCATTTAATGTGTTTTCCATACATTCCATACAATTTTTTATACCTAGTTTATTCCCTGTTGGTTGATTTTTTCAAAAGAAAAAAAGTAGAATGGATTAGAAGAACTGCATATTTTCCAAAGAGGTTCCTCCATTCCAGTTTTACAGGGTCATCATAACGTAATAAAGTTTTGCTAAGTTGATGATATTTCTACTGTTTAGAGACAATTCTAAAATAACCGATGGTAAAATAAATTAAGAAAGCTTTTCTTTCCCTGATTTTTTCAGTATAAAAAATCCCCTGATAATTCCAGACAGGTGGCCACCCTGTTTTGATTTCTTTATATTTAGTTTATTCCCTGTTAAACATTCATTTTTAATATTTATTCATTCTTTATTATTGTAGAATAGTCTCTATTCAACTTTTACTTTGCTTTTGGAATTATTCTTTTCTTTCTCATGGTTTTGCATGTCAAAATAAATTTCTGCTTCTTGAAAAAAAGATAAGTACTAATGCAAGGAACAAAATATGGGATTAAAACAATATTATTTCAGCACAGAACACTGCCACTAAAAAATCTCAAATAAAGTCAAAGAAAAAATTAATATTATTTCATGCAGATCTATCTTATAAAATATGTTAACTCAGAATTTAATACAGGAAACAGTTGCTACAATTGAATTTTTAACTTTCACTTCAAATTTGTTGAAACTTACTAATAGTACATGCTTTATACGGCATTTCGTTCAATAATGATGTCGAATTACGGGCTTGGTTGGACAACTTTTTCGAGAAGCTTCGGGGTGATTTCAACCGAAGAGGCATCGAAAAATGTTTCGGAAGTCGTAACAACAACGGAGAGTACATTATTGATTAAATTGTTATTTTAACTCAAAAAATAAAGTTGTAAAATTTTTTTTAAACAGAAACTCTAGAACTTATGCATCAACCCAATATTAAAAATAACTTAATATTTGATTATATTTATGGGAGCAGAATCATTTCATATTAAGCTATGTTAAAACTACGAATATTAAGCCTTTAAAATCTTTTATATAAAAGTAATAAACATATTACTGAGTTTCCAGTAATACTTGTTTGATCTTTGACGATGCATCAGAAATCTGATATAAGCCGCCGATAGTGACTTCGCTTTAGACGATGCATCAGAAATCTGATTTAAGCCGTCGTATAATACAACGCACTGATGAGGACTATTTTGATTTCGTCTAACTGCGGAGCTGTTGATAGAGTCTAGCTATGAAGACGATGTTAGTTTCGTGATGTTAAATAACAAAAAGTGAATCGAAACAACTCTTCGCTTCGTGCGAGGATCAGCATTGAAATAGCTATGCATAATTTCTTTATGCGCCATTTTTGTCTTCGGAAGTTTAATTTTCTTGAAGATTATTTTCACCTGGACTTACGTTATTTTGAGATCGCTGTGCACTTTATTTTGTCGGGGTTTAACGTTACTTGTAAATTATTTTCAGTGAGACTTTTGATACTTAGCGTTCTTTATTGTGCATTATTTCGTCACTTTTTCGTTCTCTCTTTTTTTCTTTTTTTATCTTCGGTTTGGCGGGATATAACCATTCTTGTAAATGATTTGCAGTAGACCTACTGTTACATGGCAATTGTTGCACAATCGCTGTTATCCTACATTTTCATTCTGAACTCAATCTATTAATAAAAAGAAAATGTGAATAAATTTTTTTTTTTTTTAATTATTGTTCTTTATTTTAAGCAATACAATTTAATAGGGGTATTTTGTACTTTACTTTGTTATAAAAAGTGAGGGTTTTTTTTTTAAATTTATTTAATGCACATAAGTATAATTATTTGATAGAGATCTAACAATGTTTCAAAAGCACAGATTTTTTCAACTAATAATTTAAGAAATAATTCATTTAAGTGAACATTTCTTCAGTTTGTTTTCTTTACTTTCGTTTTTCTTTTCCTTTAATTTTTAATGCATGTATGTAAAATATTTTGTAAGTTAATTATTATTTTTAAACCAATAAATCTTAAATCATTTTTAATTTTAAAAGAAAATTAAAATAAAGCTTGGGTTTGCTTAAGACATTTTGTTTTGTAATAGATTTATTCCTTTTTGACTAATTTAAAGATTTATGATAGATAATTTTTTAATATATGCTAAATCGCGATACATCGCTATATCATGATGTCTAACAGACGATGTATCACAATATAAAATTTCTTACATCGCCCAGTCCTATCCTTGACTAATTCTAAGAATTTATCATGACATAATGAAGTTACTATTTTCTCTGACAAAAACACAACAATAAATTTAAAAAAGCATTATAACAACATTAATTGAAATGATAGGCATAACCAAAACTGCATCTTCATATTTATAGATTTTAAATTTAAAAAACAGAGTAAAGAAAGAGTTGAAGCAATAAAATAGCTGAGAAAAATACAAAAGCAAATAATTTTTTCTGCAGAATTATATTCTAAAGATACTATCATAGCTGCCAACATGGATACTAAAAATTCCAGTAGATTTTACGAAATAATATAAATTTCATGATTATTGTTGCATAATGTACTTAATATTTTTCTTATAGGAAATTTTAGGGATTTTTTTGGGGAACCTTACTATTTTCTAAAATGTACAAAAACCAGGAGAATTTTAACTAAACCAGTAAGATTCTCCTGGTTTAGATTGAAGTAATCATTATAAAATGAACTTTCTGGTGCATAGTTTTTGAAAGGCCACAAAGAAAACAATTTTTTTATAGAAAAAACTGGATTTCAATTTTTCAAGTTTTTTAAATTTAACTTTCAAAAAGTGAGGACATTTTTTGATCCAACAATCCTGGATTTGGCAGAAATCCTCCTAATTCCCTTAGATCTTGTTTAGATCAAAAGAAATTCACTCAATGCAAACATAGAATAAATTTGATGTATTACACTATGCATAGCTGCCAACATGGATACTAAAAATTCCAGTAGATTTTACGAAATAATATAAATTTCATAATAATTGTTGCATAATGTACTAAATATTTTTCTTAGACGGAATTTTAGGGATTTTTATTGAGATTTTTTTGGGGAACCTTACTCACTTTTAGGGAATTTTCTAAAACTTACAAAAACCAGGAGAATTTCAACTAAACCAGTAGACCAGGAGTAACTTGCAAAATTCAGTAGTCTACTAGAAAATCCTGTAGAGTTGGCAGCTATGTACTATTCTTGTTCATCGGAAAGGAAAGAAATATTCCTGATTTTTCTATTCTCATTTCAGAATAAAAAAATTCACCAATGATTGGCTTGCTTCAGTCAGAATTTTAAATTAATAAAAAAAAGAAAAAAATAATAAAAATTCTGGAAGTTTATTTGAAAGAATATCATAATTTTTAAAGAACACGATAAAAACATTTTATATTTTAATACGATATGAATGAGTAGGGATTTTGCTACAAATTCAGATATTCAAAACACCATGAAATTGGGGGGGGGGTATATTTTTAAAATGTTAATTCCATTTTAAAAATCAGATTTCTCAGCGACCTAAAACCATGACTTCCCACGACTTTTTTTAAAAAAAATAGTTAAAATCATGACAAATTTTGTCCACTACCGACTTTCTAGGTGGGCTGATACCCTGCAACTACAAGACAACCACCAAAAAAATTTTAACAAAACTATGTAGAGAAAACTTTTAATTGGTATTATTTAGTTTCTCTTTGACTGAAAATCAAATCTGAAAAAGTAACATACTTGAATTTTTTGCATAATTTTTGAGCAACCAAAAAACTGTTCTCCCTCAAATGTCATCATTGATCTCTCTTCCTGGAAAAAAAAAATAAATAAATAAATAGATTAAATTGTATGACAATAAAGGTTTTCATGCCTATCAAAAATGCAATCTTTCATAACCTTCTGCAAGATAACACAAAATTTACTCTCGCTACTAATGAATAAGAAGAATTGGACGAAAACAGGACTGACCTCCTTTGGAAATTTTACATGATGGAGAGTATAGTTAAGTTACTAAAAATACAATAAAACTGTTGGTTACATATCAGAATTCAGGGGTCTGTTTAGAAGAAATTCGGGTCCGCATTGTTCTTCACATTTGGGTTTTGGCATTGTTTTTCATAATTGTCAAAAAGCATGAAATTTTGAATCATGTAAAATGAATGGTGTTTTTATACGATATGGACTGACAATACGCAGAAATAGATTGGGGTTGAATTAATTGTTAAAATGTTGAATAGAAGAATATGCACTGTGTCTTTTAGCGTAATTCGAAGCAAAAATCAACATGATAAAGGAAAAATCTCACTTTGAAAAAGGGAAAATTAAGCACTTTTTCAAAACACTCAATGAAAAAAGCAGCTTTAAGGGTTTTTATAAAACGAAAATAAGCACTTTTAAGCGCTCTTTTAAAATGCTACGCACCCTGTTCAATGCATGAAGTCTTAGCAATGTGAACCCTGAGGCGGAATTTTTTCGAGCAATCTGTGACAAAACTCTCAATTACTAATTTCTTCTGCAAGACACTTTTTATAAGAAACATAATATGTTACTAATTTAAAATAACAAAAGCGCTGTGTTTACAACAAAAAAAAATATATATAATATATGTTTTAATAATACCTGTAATAATTTTTTATTCTAATATTATGGGTAATATTCTCACATTTTGTGGGAGAGGGGACACAAATTATTTCCTTTCTTCGAATGCTGTAAATAATTATGACAATAAAAAATATAATTAAAAATCATGAAATCCATACTATTAATTGCTGTAAAAAGATTGACGACGAAATCACGCAAATTGGGCTCCTCAAATGCATGTTTCGTTTCAAGATTATGTTGTTGTAATAAATAATATTGCATAAAAAAATATCGGAATTAAAAGATATGGAGAAATCAATAGCAGTAGCTGCAAAAAATTCGTCAGAATTATATCCTTAAAAAGTAAATATTCAAATGCACTATTCAAATTTTTTATATTGTTTAAAATATACATTGGGATATTTAAAATCCACGTGAAAATCAAATTCCAGTACTAGACTAATTTTTGATGATGTCAATGAAACGTGGGACAGCAGCACAAACCGTTTCATACTGTTTACCAGGGTCCTTATTATTTTCTGTGGCAACCACTCTTGTCCCAAGGCAAGCTTGAGTTCATCGAAGGTCGCTGCCTCTCGGAAATGGAGTGCCCAAAGGACCCAAACATGTTTAATAGAATTAAAGTCAGGGGACATGAACGACCACTCCATCGAATATCACCCAAGTGGCAGTATTCGAGGTTATAAGTACTATAATGATTTTGCCTTTAAAATATTAGATTATATGCATTATTGTATTTTACAAAAAGATAATTAAAAAAATTAAAAAAGAATATATAATAGGTTTGATTTCTGATTTGTTTTTCTCATAATCAATTTTAAACTTCTGTATCAGAATGAAATTAACTCAGGAAGCCTCTTAATTAAAACATTAAGGTTAGTATACCATAGACTGCCTCAGAGTATTTTCTTGCAGCAAAGAACAAATCCTCTCTAAATGAGAACAATCATTCCAAGAAAGATGCACAATGACCTTCACATTCACAGAATGTAGATTACAAGCTATCTGCATTAAATCTTAGGGCGACCGTAAAGTGGATGCTGCATTCTACAAGTTGTGAGACGATTATGCTATCACCTTCATCTTTAGGCAAAGTGGGCACATTTTTCAAAAACTACCTCCTCCCTCCCAAGATCTCTACAACAGGTAGTCTGTGATAGGCTCTAGTCTTTTAACCAGGGTTGCAAAAAACCTGGGTGAATTTTTAAATGTTTCATTGGGGTTTTTCTCAAAAGAGAGAGCAGAGATGAATACCTCATTTTAAATTAGCTTAAATTAATAATAATAATAATTAAGTCTAATTTTATGAACTGACTTACGATATAGGTAATTAAAGTGTAATTAATACAAATTGTCTGAAAAAAGTTTCTTCTGACATCACGATTCAAAATTTTATATGTACTCACATACACCACACATTTGAAACTTATTTTAACACAGGACTACTTTTTATTTATATTTTAATCTTAAAAAATATTTGAGGAATTTTTTTTTTTTTTGCATAGAAAACGAATCAAAGGCTCAGACTAATCAATGGCCATACAGTAAAATCCAGATTGTATACACTGATAACCTCATCGATTTACAATGTATTTTCCCTGTGTTTATTTTGAATTAAAATCCTTATGAAATAACTTTAATTGTAGTATGATTTATACTCCAATTATTCTGTTTTTTATATGAAACCTATAAATTTTTCTTCATGAATTCCACAAATAATTTTTGCATAGAAAACGAATCAAAGGCACAGACTAATCAATGGCCATACAGTCAAATCCAGATTGTATTATAACACTGATAACCTCATTGATTTATGATGTATTTTCCCTGTGTTTATTTTGAATTAAAATCCTTATGAAATAACTTTAATTGTAGTATGATTTATACTCCAATTATTCTATTTTTTATATGAAACCTATAAATTTTTCTTCATGAATTCCACAAATAATTTTTCTTTTCAGATTGTTGTTAGTTTTTTCATTATAGGTTCATTTTTTTAGGCTAGACTACATATATATTTCAATAGAATAGGTCTTTAATATAACAGAGGATAAAAAAGAAGAAAATTTCAGAAAAACCCACTTTAGGTGTATGAGGGTTTTTTGCAACCCTGTGTAGTAGTATTTCTGTGTAGGAGGGTTTTTTGCAGCCCTGCTTTTACCTGCCTCTCATCTTGCAATTTGTAGAAGGTATACTCAAGGAAGGACTTGTATCTGCCAAGTGAACAAAAAGCAATTTTATCAGAGTTGGCAAGCTTTTGACAGGAGTTTTTTTCCCCCCCGTCACGTCAAAAAAACCAAAATTTTAGCGTAAGGAAAATTATTAGATATTATAAAAAAGAAGTATTTATATATAAACATACATACAAAATTATAAATGATCAATCAATAATGTTCTTGAATTATTTTGAGATTAAACTCTTTTAGATAATTTTTGCGAATAACCCAAATTTTTGTGTAGAAAATAGGTAGACAACTAAAAATGCATAAAATTGAAATTCATCCAATCTCTTCACTTGTAAAAATATTTGAAATCGAAACACATCAGCATAGTTAAAAGAGAAAAACACTTAACAACCATTTTAACTCTGCCTAAAGCATACACCAATAGAAAGCCTTTTGTACTCCCATGAATAAGACTATTCTTTTGATTGGTGCAGAGCTGCATAGTCTAGAAAGAAGAGGTATCAAAGCTATTATAACATAATAAAATAACAAGTAACCAGGATATTTATTTTAATAACTGTACTAAATAGTAATATGGTAAAACCATTGAATTGATTGATTGAAGAAAATTACTAAGTCATTCAAAAAAAATTTATACTTATTTTTTTTATAAATTATTATTGTATATTAATAACTTATTAACCCATTGACGGTTCTGATATTTTAATTTTGACTACTTCCAAATGGTTACAATATCTAGAAACTGCTGTTCCTGAAATAGCCGCTTGCATTTTCTAAGAACCCTTGCCAAGAGATAATTCCTATAATGGAAAACTGTGTTTAAAGGGCAATTTTTCTCCTATTATTTACTTGACAGGTGGGGTGGTTTACTTTTGGAGGTGTTGTAATTATAGACTGTCCGCACTATCCCCTTTGCTCAGGTCATTTTGGGACGTGAAAGATATACTTTTTCAATCTGTTTGAAAATATTTCATTTGAGCTGTGAGTGAGCATAGAATCTCTTGCGGAAAAAAAAACAAAGGAAAAAAGAAACAAGTAAAATCTAGCGTAGCGTTTTAAAATTTGTTTTTGTCAATATTTTTCTTTTTATTACATGATTGTCCTTTTTATTACAGTATTTTTTGTCGATAGCGTAGATTATTTTATATAGAATGCATCAAAATGTATCTAAAAAAAATTCGATTTATTATGTAGAAGTGCAAGTGTTTAATTAATTTGGAGTAATCAACTTTCCCATTAACGGTATAAAGGCAGAAATATTCTTTAAAGTTGTGTGAAATATTTCAAACAAACCTTTTTTGATAATTAATTTGCATTGAATCAGTTATTTAAAAAATGGCACGAGTTTTTTTTTTTTCTTTCTTTTTTTTTCTTAGAATGAAATAATAAGTATTTATTCTAGAGATAAAGTAAATATGGTAATAAAATTTTGCTTTTTATTTTTTTAACAACGCAAAAGTTTATTTAGAAGTCATAAAAAATAGTAGTAAAACGAAATTAAAATATCTATTTTAATTATTAAATCCATTCAATTAAAATTCGTTTAACAAAAGATTAAAATAATGATATCAATTCACGACTTGTGTTTTTTCTACATTAAATAAAAGTTATGACACATGGATAAAAAAACTAGTTGTGATGCTTTTCTTTTTTGTACAGATCTAATTTTATACCTAAAAACATGGCAAAGCCAATGCTAACTCAATTTAGTAAAACATGTTACTTATGCTCATTTTGAAATTATCTAGTATTTAATTTCTAGATATGATGAAAGCTTATATGAACACTTAGTAGCAAAATAAAAATTACTAAATATCTAGTTTTTGTTTCTTCAGCTGTTTAGACTTTAACTCTTTTAATTATTAATTTTACATATTTGATGGAACTATATCTCGTTCATTGTAATTATTCAAAATTACTTTTATATTTACTCCAGCACATTAATTTGTGTAATTTAACTCCACTTTTACTGCAATTTACCTTAATTGAGTTATTTTGTTAGAGTTTGTTACAATCATCAGAAGTTGATGGTATATTTTTATAAATTTACTATCATGCTTGTCAGGGAAGTAAAGGTGGCCTGTGCATAAGGTAGATCATACCATCACAATTATGCCATTGTATGTGGAGCCTTACCTTTTATGAACCTCTGGCTCACAGCAGACTGTTGTTGAATACTTGATTTAATTAATTATTATTATTAATAAAAAAGTGCTAAAATTAATAAGTATTATAAATATTAAGAGCATATTTTAGGTAAACGAATTATAAAAATAAGATCTTGTTAGTTTTAAATAATTTATAAAATTATAAGAAATTTGTGTACATTAAAATTCTTAAAATGTCATATTATTATTTTTTATTAAATATTAAAAATGACAAGCGATTATTTAAAAAAAAAATTTTTTTTTAAATGTTACTTCAAGAGTTTGCACAAAAAGCTATAGAACTGCTTATTTTGTTTCAAGGGTATAATAAATAAATTTAAACATCAAAAATAACAAAACTGGGGGAGGGGGCATCTCCAAGAGCAAAATACGAAAAAACAAATTACGATACCTATTCTATTACAATAATACCTTCTTACATCTAATATCAGATATGTAGAAACTTTTTGAAACTTTAACCACTTTTTTACCACTTTCAATTTAGGTTTCCATTTGTTAACAACTTCAGCTTTCTTGAAGCGCGTTTGAATAAAATGGGTTACTATTTATTAGTTTAAAAATGCGTATAAAAGTTATAAAATATATAATTTCTCTTTAAGTTTGTAGCACTTATAAAATTTATTTTATAATTAACGAAAAAGAAAAGTCAATGAGTTCTTAATAAGTCGTGGTATAAACTTACCTAAGCTAAATGAGGGGGTTTTTTTCTTATATCAATTACTATTCTTTTGTCAATTTCAACTCCCAAAAATACTTTAACTTACCTTTACTAGAAATAAATGGCCCATTAAAGGGTTAAAGTAGGAAATTTCCAATGTGCTTGTATAAACTTAATTAGAGCAAATTAAGTACAAAATCATTTATTTAAATCGAGTTAAGAAATAATAAAACATTTAATATTCGACATCGTATTATTCATTTTATTATTCGATATTGTAATATTTTTAAGGTGGTACATTCCCAAATACATTCCAAGGAAATTAATTAAAATATTAATTAATATATAAAATTTTATGTGAAACCTATGCATATATATAATTTAAATATATACACAAATTTCTAACCAAAAAAAAAAAGCCTAAAAACCTAGCTGTCAGATAATTGACATTTAATAATAATATACTCCCTCTTCTACATTTGAATACTTTTGCACTGCTTATTGATACTGATGAGTTTATGATTTTGATTCAACATTTTTCAGAGATTTCAAGGTGCTATGCTATCAGTTTACGTTTACATACCAATCATTCCCTACTTAAATCAGCACCAAATTAGTTTCAAAATTCTTTTTTGAAGCTAATTTTGAAAAAAAGTTGTTGCTAAAAAAAATTGCTTGAAAATTGAAAGAAAATCGCTGTCAAACAAATCCCCTTTCTGTTAAGACTCTTCCATAGGTAATCGCATAAAATGATATTTTAGTTAACGAATCGTGAATTCAGTACTATTATAATTTTACTGTTGTTGTTGTTCTATTAAACTGCATCGAAAGTTATTTATAACTCAACTTACTGGAAATGTAGCAACTGATTTGGGAGGGAGAGAATATAAAAAAATTAACATAGGATCATATGAAAAAAAAAGTATTTTGAAGTTAAATGAGATGATGCTAACTAACCTGCAATTACACCCTTAACTAAAATTGAATCATTAATTCAATAATTAATGCCTGCCTCTTAAACTAGATAATACTTTGAAAGAATAAAAATGGAAACTGAATATTAAATATTAATTTTTTAATCACTAACAAAAAATCGCAATTTGTAAATTTTTTTTTGGTATATTAGAAAATGTTCTTTGAACCAGCAAAAGAAAAAAAAACAATAACGGGAAAAGCAATTATTATTTACTCGCTAAATACTTTATTAATAAAACAGAAATCTAACTAAATGGAAAACTATTTAAACAATTGAAGATAATATTAAATGTAAATAATTTATAAACATTATTTTTAAATATATCATATCCTTTTTTTCCATACATTTAAGTGAATCACTTTTACCGAGATTTATTGCATTATATTTTCAAAATTAAAATCAATCACCTGCACTGAGTCAATTTTAACATGTTACTTTTTTTTAAATCAATTTTAATCTCTGCGAATTAACATTAGATGAAAATTAGTTCTATTTTGTCATGCAATTCTCTTCCCATACCGATTTCTTTTCTTTTTATACTGAAAAAAAAAATGTTTTTGTTAAATATTTTCGAAAATCCTTTCGCATTTTCTTTGAAAGCAAACTCCATTGTGTATTGAGTATTTCTACCCTTCAGGTGATGGAGTGGACATCAATTAACCGTAGCTGAGAAGGGAGTGAATTTCACGCCAATTTCCGCAAGGAAGGGGAAAAGCAATAGTCTTTTCACGTGCATAGCCGTTTTGCCGGACAAAAATCAGAGGTTTTTTTTACATGCAGGAACATCTATAGATGGAAAAATGAAGGGAGGTTTTCTACGTTCACGACCATTTGCGAGCATAAAAAAAATTACGACTTTCTACGTGCAGAACCGTCGGTGGGTTAAATATACATTATTTTATCTTTTTATAAATTTCAATTAGTTCATTAATCAGTGAACTAATCATACATCAATAAGATTAACATTATTTCACTAATATTGGAAATATTCATGTAGGTACATATAAGCAGGAGTGCAAAAAATTCTCACAGCCTAATATACCCAAAGGAGTTCTTTTTTTTGGGGGGGGAGGGGGGTAGATTAAAATTTCCAAGAATTTTAGCTTTAAAAAAAATAATAAATTGGAAAACAAAGTTTATATAAGAAATAAAATAATTTGATTTTACACAATTCTTGAATAAATGAACATATGTACTATAAAATAGAAAATAATTGAAATAGTAAATTTATTCAATTAAATTTATGGTCTCACATATTAACTAAAGGAATTCAAGCTAATGGTTACACAAATTGACATATGTTTTTTAATAAGAAAAAGTTTTGAAAAGCGAAAAATTTTTTAACAAAAAATTTTATATTAATTTTTAGATCAAAAATTTCCCCATTGCTGCCTGAATTTCCTCCAAAGTCTTGCTTGCGCTGTCAGATATATTCTGCTCACCTAAATGTAATTAACGGTGACATTTACTACCATTTAGCGGTACCTTTACAAATTTAACTTTAGGGGAATCGGCAATTTCACAAAAATACTTTTCCTTAAAATTTTATTTTTGTCCCCCATAGGAAACGATAGATCCATATTTTTGTGTGGACTTTTTAATATAGTTTTTCATAAATTAAGTCTAAATTTTCACAAAATAGGTACCTCTCATATAAACCTAGACATACCCCTGCTAATAACAAATATTGAAAATCAATAAAAAAAATTCAATCAATCAATCATCGGCAAACACTTTTATTTCATTTAATCTAAAAAAACTGCTGTAATATCAACCAAATAATTATAATATGGATCAAAGTATTAAAATTGTGCTATCCTTAAATTATTTTATGAAATATTCAAATTTGTGTGTTATTTTGATAACACTTGAAAACTATTTTTTTTATAAAAAGCACACATAAGCTAGTATAAAAGGGTAATTGTTTAGAATCAAGCTCAGTTATTACATTACACCATTTGAAAAACTTTTAAGGTGGTGAGAGCCCTTTTCTACTTCTAGGGAGAACTCTGGAGTTCAAATTGGTCCCTTTCTGTGATATATTCTTGTTAGATTCTCAAAGGCCTACTGCCTGGAAGTTTTATTTGCATAGATTCCCAACTCATTCTGCCTAAAGTAAAACAGTGCTTTAGAAAAATTTAAATTATTAATATATAACAGCGCTACTACCAAGCTTTATTACAGATAACACTAATTTAACAAATTAAAGACAGGTGATAAAATCGTCCCAAGCCTTGCACCTTGATTAACACAAATACTAAAAAAATATTTATTTAGAGCTAACACATGAATAATGAAATTTAAAAACAATACTATATTGATTCAATAGGTACTTAATTATCAACCAAAACATGTTTAACCTGAACGGCCTTACTTGAAATGTTTGGTTGTTTAACGTAGCACATCAATACATATTACAAATTGTTTCAAACATTCTTTCAAAAAATAAATGATGAACATATCTGTAATCAACAACAAATAGCTCTCTTAACAAAACAAATAGCATAGATTTATTTACATTATAAAAGGAGGCCAGAGTTGCACGCCTTGCTGCATCATCGAAAACTCCATAGAACTGTTGAACAAATGTTTTAGCAAGAGTGTCATATTGTGGGTTGAGGGTTGACATGATTATATAGATATAAAATTCATTCAAATAAAAAATAACTAAATGTGAATTAGGTAAAAGAAAGATTAATGACTCTACTAAATGTACAGAATTTAGTTTCCCCGCAACGGTATGTGAGTAGTCAAAGTTGTATTACTTATTATTTCACTGTGACTTGTGTCTATACGTGCAATCAGCTGAGCAACTACGCATGCGCAGATTGAAATTTTGACGCCTCAATCAGCTGTAAATGCGAAAAGTTGCCAAATATTGCACACCTATTAGTCAACAATTGGCTGAGAGATTTTCCGCTATGGATTCATTGCCAGATGACACCATATTTTAATAACAGATAGCGATAAGACAGAGTTAATCGAGTAAAGCTAGGCACAGATGGCGCTAGTGATTAAAATTCGTCGAAAGTCTGCCGGGTCACAAATTTCGATTCATTTTTATGCCTGAGATTTCAAAAAACATACCATCCAATATTATTACACTTGTAGTGCTTACATTATAGCGCGTTCTTACAATTCAAATTTCAGCGAAACAAACAACAAATGAATTTGGAAAAATCAACTAGCATACTATGATTCTATCGTAAAAAATAACAATACAGTGATATTGTATACTTCTTTTTCTTTGTCTGCGCAACAGTAATTTGCAGGCCTTGATTTCCGCAAAAGTTGACAAACGCCATGACTCATTTCCCTGAAAACTCCCTTCCAAATTTTAATTTTTAGGGTTTTTAGGTCATTTTCGATGTCGGAGAACATTGTGCACTAATAAAGCGAAATAAGGGATAACATTCAAAACATGGAAAACCTTACACTTTATTTATGTTGTGAAAATATGGATCTTAAATCAGTTTCAAGCTCACGACCTGTTACAATATAAAATAAAATAAACAAAAAAATTTAAAAAATTGACCCGACCGGGATTTGAACCCGCGTCATTCCGCTCAACGAACCTTTCACGCTCACAGCTTGACCCACTGGGCCACGCCACACATGGTAATGCCTCGAATATTTAGCTTAAGGAGCTCTCACCCGGTAAGTTAACCAAAAAGGCTTTTGGCCCATTGAGGGTCCTCTAATTGTTCTATTAAAAAATTTCCTTCGGTACGATTGCTCGGCCCAATCGACCCAACTTTCGGACCGAGTTTGAACATTATAGCTTAATATTAAAGGGAGTTACACTGTCTGGAATTTCTGACCCATCCATTTCTGTACCATTTTCATTAATTTTTCGCTCTTTAACAAAGAAAGATACTTGTTTCTGTATATAGAACACCTTATGCACGCTAAAGTATCGAGAATATTGTAAAAGAGGTTAAAAAATAATATTAAATAAAATAAATAAATGAATTTTCCCTGATTTGTCCTGTTTTTGAGCATTATTCGCTATTTTCCGAAGGAAAAAATATTTTTTATATATAGGATCCTCTAAAATATCGAGAAACACATTAAAAAATAATTTAATGTAAAATAAAAACAAAGAAAAAACTTAAAATTGAGCACAGCCGAGATTCGGTGCTGCAAAACCCTGCGCTCAACGAAAATCACACGCGCACAGCCTTACTAACTGCGCCACGCATATATAGTGCTCGTCAGCCTATTTAGATTCAAACAAAAGGGTTTTGGACCCATTACAGAACCCCTTAATTGCTATAACCCCTTAATTGTCCCTTAATTAGGGGGTACCCCCAAATAAGCCTATAATTATTTCCTTTGATAGGGTATGCTAGTACCCGGAAATATAATATTTGCTTCAATATAAATTATATAGCAATATGCAGACATTTTGAACAACCAACCAATATAAATATTATGGGTCAATATTAAGGTAAGATATCGGGCCATGTGTGGCAGTTATCGGACCAAGTGTATCGGCCCAATATGCAGGCATTTTGAACAACCAACCAATATAAATATTATGGATCAATATTAAGGTAAGATATCGGGCCATGTGTGGCAGTTATCGGACCAAGTGTATCGGCCCTGTATGCAGGCATTTTGAACAACCAACCAATGTAAATATTATGGATCAATATTAAGGTAAGATATCGGGCCATGTGTGGCAGTTATCGGACAAGTGTATCGGCCCAATATGCAGGCATTTTGAACAACCAACCAATGTAAATATTATGGATCAATATTAAGGTAAGATATCGGGCCATGTGTGGCAGTTATCGGACCAAGTGTATCGGCCCAATATGCAGGCATTTTGTACAACCAACCAATATAAATATTATGGGTCAATATAAAGGTAAGATATCGGGCCATGTGTGGCAGTTATCGGTCCAAATGTATCGGCCCAATATGCAGGCATTTTGAACAACCAACCAATATAAATATTATGGATCAATATTAAGGTAAGATATCGGGCCATGTGCTAAAACAGAATATTGACTACGAATTTCCTCATTTTAACCTATAAGACCACAATGTGTACCTCATAATAAGAAAACAATTATTTCCTGTTGTAGGGTACATTAGTACCCGGTAATATAATACGAAGTCCAATATAAGTATTATGAGTCAATATTAAGGTAAGATATAGGGCTAGGGGTTAATCCAGAATATTGCCTTTGAATTTCCTCATTTTAAGGCTATTTAATACACTATTACATAGATACATACATAGAAACCTGTAGGGCCACATAGTGTACCTCCTAATAGGCCTATAATTATTTCCTCTGATAGGGTTAACTAGTACCCCGTAATATAATACGAGGTCCAATATAAATATTATTATTAAAGGAAGTTATACTGTCTTGAAATTTTAACCTTTGACAAATCATTTTATTGTATTTTTTATTCCATTAGGAGTTCTTTCAAAAAGAAAGAATATTGATTTTATACTTAGAACACCATACGCTAAACTATCAAAAACGTTGTAAAATAAGTTTAAAAATAATATAAATAAACTAATTATCCGAGATTTTTCCAGTTTTTAAGCATTATTTGCCATTTCCAGAATAAAAAATATTATTTTTATGTATATAAGAATCTTTAAAATATCTAAAAAAAACATTGAAAAAAAATATAATAAAAAAAGAACAAAAAAAAAAGAAAATTTTTTAAAAACTGCCCACTGCCGGGATTCGAAACTGCGCCGAACCGCGATCGCCCGAAATTACTTGTCCCGATCGCTATCCGTTGGACCACGCCTGTACGTGGATCGTGCGACTGTTTAGCTTGAAATACCCTCTCCCGGTTAGTTAAACAAAAGACTTAAGGGGCAACTGCTGCCCCCCTAACTGCTCTATAAAAAATTTACTTAGGCAGGGTCGTTCGACTCAAAGAGGCCTACTTCCGGTCCCAGTTTTGATATTATAGCTTAATATTAAAGGGAGTTATGAGGTCTTGAAATTTATCCACTTACCCGCCATTTTATTTTATTTTTTATTCCATTATGCATTCTTAAACAAGAAAAGACATTTCATTTTATGTATATATAATCCTTACGAATGCTAAACTATCGAAACCATTGTAAAAGAAGTTACAAAAATAATATAAACAAACTAATTATCCGGGATTTTTCCAGTTTTTAAGCATTATTTGCCATTTTCCGAATAAAAAAAAATATTTCTATGTATATAGGACCCTTTAAAATATCGAAAAACACATTGAAAAAACATTATAATAGAAAAAGAACAAAGGAAAAAAAAAAGAAGAATTTTTAAAAATTGATTACTGCAGGGATTCGAACCTGCGCCGAACCGCGCTAGCCCTAAGTTGCTAGTCCAGAGCGCTATCCGTTGAACCACGCTTATACGTGGATGATGCGACTTTTTAGCTTCAAATACCCTCTCCCGGTTAGTGAAACAAATGTATTAAGGGGCCACTGCTGCCCCCCTAATTGCTCTTTAAAAAATTTACTTAGGCAGGGTGGTTCGGTTCAAAGAGGCCTACTTCCGGTCCCAGTTTGGATATTATTTTGTTTACTTTTATTTAGTTTTATTTTATTTGTTTCATACTTTTAAATTAATAATGGTAGGTTATTTCACAAACCTTCTAACCCTTAAACGAGATCCGTAACCATCTGACAATCTATTCCACGCACATTACCCTCATCCAAAACCTCGGAAAACATCCTTCGGTATAAAAACCTTAAATCGAGGTTGACTTAGGGCAGGGGTTGCCAAACTTTTTTGATCATCGACCCCTATATAATTTTTCGAAGTCTTCATCGACCCCCACAAAATTAATTTTCTATCAATTAAAATAAAACTCTATTCGATACTGAGTTTGTACATTTATTTTAGGATTTTAAACATTTATTAAAGTAATAGTACATTGTGTAACAATAGTTTTATGAAAAATAAATTAATATTGAAATTTAAATACCTTATTATTAAATAATAAGTAACTATGCAGAAGTAGATATAATAAGTAAAGTAACTAAGGTGCTTCTTGATCAATGAGATGGGTGTGCCTGGTGTTTTTTTTGCAAGGTTCGCTATATTGGTTTCAAAATTGGTCAATTTTAATTTTCGTCAAAATTGGTCAATTTTGTAATTTTCTTAAAAAAAATACAAAGTGTGCTATAGTTTTGTCGCGGGCTGTACTAATCCATATTATTAATGCTTACCTTCTTTTTTGTGCATTGATAATTAAATTTGATATCTAAACCAAACGAATGGCTTTATCGAAACAATAATTAATTATCCAAAACTATAAAAGTTTTAATAATGACACTGCAAATATTCAACACAATTTTGAAAGATAGCTGAAACTGCATATGATATTTGCATTTGTAACGTCAATGCTCGTCACTCGGGACATTTGGACAAGCGCACATATGCATATGACTCATAAACTGCCCTGAGTTCGTGCCACTGCGCGGTGGTACGTAAATACTTGTTTCACCCCAATAGATATACGTTTATTAATTTATGTTTTATAAAGAAACTGATATTCAGTCAATTATAAAAAAAATTCACAAATTTTACATACTTAATTAGGTATGTGTGATTTGCGTATTGAGAACTGTTTTTTTTCTCGACCCACAATCGACCCTTCCGATTCGGATCGACCCCCATTCGCCCCCCTGTCTCAGATCGACCCCCGCTTTTGTTAAATAGACCCCTGGGGGTCTATATAGACCACTTTGGCGACCTCTGACTTAGGGTTTTCAAGCGTGAAAACATCCTTTAATTAAGCTAGTCTCATGGTGAAAATAATCTTAAATCTAGGTAATTATAAGGTTTCTTTTCGCCCAGTATT